ATTTGTTTTCATATTATCCTGATAATTTATGACCGATAAAGTGAAGTGGAAAAATTAATTTTCCTGGCGCATGCCAGCAGAAAAAAACGAATGTCGCATTGTGATTCAGTAGCCAAACATACAAGGGTAAACACTCCTTGAGTGCCTAAATAATTTCTGCACTTTTTTTGATGAGAAGGCTTATTAGATTAAATGACAAAATCCATCCTTTTAAATCCAATGTTAATTTCATTTGTTCCTTTTGCGTTTTAGTGAGGGTAATATTTTTTGCTGAACGTCTAATGCGGCTAATTTTTTGTAGTTTTGGTTCATGAAGTCACAAGTTACCTTTGTTTTTCCTGAGACCAATTTCTTTTTCGTTGAAAAATCGAATTTACCATTTTTTGGAAGATTCGATCATTTAAAAACTTCATGGTATCAATTTTTTTTTTAAAAAATGCATAAAGAGAGGAAACACCAACTTATTTTCCGCCTTTAAAACCTAATCGTACATGGGACACATCGGACACATTAAGAGAAAAAAAATGACCCTTTAAATCAGTTACAGAGTGGGCGGAGAAGTTTACAATGGGTAAGTGGTCGGATTTTGGCATTTGACCGAGGAAACTCTCTTATCAGGAACAAGGGGGAATCTTCGAGGGGTTGCAATGTCCCTTAAAATTCTTAAACTGATGACTTGAATATCTGAGTCTACTTTTCTCCTAGAAATGAGTGAACAAAAAATAATCGTTCGAAGACGAAAAATCATAATGAAAGTTTGGATGCCCTTCACCTTATGTCTAAGATCCGGAAGAGCCTAATCGCTCCCTTAGGAATATTTTGAAGCTTAACGGTTTCGAAAATAAATGGTAAGAGCTAAATTTGTTGTCTCCCGCACGAAAGAACGTAAGTACATTCCAAGGTTGCCACATTGAATCAAACAATTAATTCATTTTACAAAGTTGTGCCTGTGCAATTTTCATCAAAAATTGTTCTAATTTTTGCATGATATCTGAGGAAAAATTAGTGAAATTCTCAGTTAGGAATGCCCAAGATTCTCCTAGCTAATACGCAATTTGCGAGGGTAAACTTGGCAACGTTGGAATGAAGTTACGATCTTCCTTGAGGGGAACGACGAATTGGCAACGAGTTCTCCGGGGAAGAAGTTCACGCGCGGTTATGATAAACAAACTCGCGTTAAACATCATTACGTCCCCTGTGTAAAAACCGGAAAAACCCTCCGCTTTACAGGCTTTGCATATTGTGAGATTAGATCTTGAAATTTTGAAGAGGCCCTCGCATCCCCCTTGGTCCGCTGTTTCAACACCCCGCCCCCTTTTTACGGCGGAATCGGAGGAAAGACTTTAATGACTCGAGGAAGATATTAAGGGAATCCTTCCGCTTAAAGACCCGCCTATATCGTCGCTTCGCTGGCATAAGGGCGTAAATACCCTTTGGGATGAGCCTGGAAAAGCATTGAATCATACGGACGACAGGGCTCATTGTAGAATGTAGATATGCCCTTATGTCAAGAGCGCGACGATATTAACGTGACAATACACGCAGGTCTACGAGCACCGGGCACGCGATGCGTACAATCTCTCATTCTGCGGTGCTAAGGAAGAACGACGCATGAGCCTTCAAACGTTGCCAAATAGCCTTTGACCAATCACGGATTTTCAGGGAAGTTTGTGAATATTTTTCTCTCTATTTTTCAAAAAATTTTGTTCGTAATTTGACCTGAAGTGTCTGACAATTTCAAGAAAAAATATTAATAACTTCGTTTGAAAATACATTTTTTCTAAGGGAAACTTAGCAACATTTGAATGCTCATACGGCGTTTTTTATTAACATGGCATTATTGCTCTCTTACTCATATTCGGTAGGAGATATGTCGTGAAAATTTTCTCGTTTGAGCGACGCAAACCTGCCTGTATTACAGTAACTAATTAAGGGGGTATTTTCATATCCGTACCGCTCTTTGATTTTTTTCACCAATGAGTCTGTTGCTCCCACAAGACACAACCGTTAAAAATAGCTCTAAAGGGTCAAGTGACAAGAAAATAACGATGATAACATAAAAAAAGTTAGAAATCTACTCCTTATGGAGCAATTAGTGAAGGTTGGAACACGGGTTTTTCAAAATTTCGACGCCTGGGGGCAGTCTGTAGTCACCGTATCTAGAGATCAAGCAACGAACACTCATGGCAACTCACGGCAACTCACGGCAACTTAGGGTTAATGAAAACTGACAATTCTAAGAACTTTTTGGTTTGATCATTTCAATAATAAGTAGGAAGTGAAATTAACACTAGTTTAAAACCATTGCAATGACAATTTTTTTGATGTCGATGAATTGCAGTCGATTAAATTCTCTTCTGAATCGGAGAGACGACACCTCTCTGGCAGCATTGAGCGGAGTATTGTGAATTCATACCTCGCGCCTTCAATTATGCAAACGCAACATGGACATCCATGAAGCACAAATAGTCGTATCTCTGCGCCGTCATCAACGCGCGTCCTTTCATGTGCTCTTTTACTATAGGATCGCTAGGACCAACAGCATCTGAACGATTATCCTCAATCTTTTATCGCGTTCAATAAAATTGAAATTTCTTCACGATTTTTTGTTAGATAATACTGCGATAAAATCGATACAATCGTGATTTTCCCAATGTCAATGTGACAAAATTCCCGAAATTGTGCGATTTACATAATTTTCACTGATTAACAGCAGCGTGCCGACGCGTGGTTGTGTTGCGCTTATAGCGGCCAAGGCAAGAAATCTAGAATGCATTCAATTGTTTGAGTATGCAACATCAACCATTATGAAGCACGTTTAGTTGCATCAAGGCGTTGTGATCAACGTCAAACTTGTCAGTCGTGCTCCGCGTTATATTCAAAACCGCTTTTCTCGGACACAAAAGTTTATTTTCCGAGAAATTTTAATGGAAAAATGAGAGCTGATTGGTCAAGTGCATGAGTGAGTATATTAGATGGCAGTTTTAAAACGGTAAATAAAAATAGGTTCAAAGTTGAAAAATTACGTGAAATCTTACGACTTGAGAAAAGTTAAAACGAGTGTTATGATATTAAAAACCGAGCTATCGTTATATGTGTTCATCTCCTCAGTCTAAGTATTACTTATTACTTTGGTTAACCATGGTTAAACGGTACCTCTCTTTGAGAAACGAAAGAGGAAAAAATGCATGACTTAGTAATACTTTTCCTTTCCTCTTGACGGTAAAATCCTGAGTTCACTCCTTTGTTGATGAAGGACGTAGTCTTTTGATCTTGGCAACGTCACGCTGGGAATTCGTTAAGTACATTAGCTTTTAGATTTAATCATCAAGAATGAATTTTTCAACAGCCCGCAATTATAAGTCAGAACACTTTTTAATCCAAGGAATTATTTTTTCATTTAAGTTTTCGGAAATTTAATGTCTGATTAAAGCCCTTGTAAGTATTTGACATTATCACATATTATGTCCTCTTAATGAAAATGTGCGTATTTTTTGAAGTAGTTTTTATGATGGCATTTTTTAATGTTATACAACTCCCTAAATTCTTTCTGGTCTTTTGGGTTGGTTTTCAATAATTATAATTCGGTTTGATGAAGTTGTAAGTATTTCAATTGAAGACGTTAAAAATGTTCTTTTTGTTTGAAAAGTATACTTTTCTCAGAATTCTATAAAAAAGAAATACTATCTTTGATTTTGAAGGCCTACTACCTTACTTTACTAGGTACTGTAAAATTTAGTGGGACAAACTTTATATTTTGTACAACAAAAATGTTCATTACTTTCCGTTCATTATTCATGTTAATTAACGACTATACAAAACAGAGAATACTGCTCATTTTTGCACATAAATAGCTACACGTTGAACAAGAGAAAACACTCAAAAATATGGCCCGAACTTTATGTAATAAGGCCTGAGCTGAACACTCTTCTCAGTCTTGCACTGATACTCATTAAAGCTCAAATTTTTTACCTTTTTGGCCTTGCAATCCCCGCAAAAAAAAGTGTGGGCCCAGAACTATTTTACCATCTCGTTATCTACATATACATTGTTCGTTCCTATGGAACTGAGATAATTTTCATTGGTACTTTTAAAGAAACATAATCATTTCACTAGCACCGATCAGCACCTATCATTTCGGCGATACACTACATTTTGAGTGTGTACCTAATTTAGCAACATGGAAAAAACGTTATTGCTAATTTAACAATTTTGTAGTTTAAAAAAAGCAAGAAGAAAGTTTTGTGGTTAAAAAATGTTTTAATGTAGATTCTACAATAAAAAAAGGCTAACTGAAACATCCCCGTGATTAAATTGGCTTTTCACTATCGTAAAATGTATATTTGAAACTTGTTAGACATATATTTTAACAATTTAATTGTTATTGCAAATACATTGAAAAAAATAATATGCTGTTTCAGCACCGAGGATGTGAAAAACGTGTTTGGTGATCCCAAGATGCTGCCTTTACTGCCCTGGCAGTTAACTTTACATCCTATGAATTCAAATTCAACTGCGTGGGCAATCAAGATAGCATCTTAGGATCACTAGGCATATTTTTGACATCCTGGGTGCTAAAAAAGCATATCATTTTTTAAGTGTAAACAATCCATTTTTTCCGTGAAATTACTCCAATCAATTTCTATTATTTTTATCCTTTTTTATTTAAGCTAGTATGCTAGTATTTATCTGCTATTTTTTTTATTAGGCTGAGTACTTTTCCAAATCGTTGAAAAAACCCAACTTTTTGACATCCTAGGTGCTAAAACAGCATACCATTTTTTCAGTGTAAACAATCCATTTTTTCCGTGAAATTACCGTAATCATCTGTAAACTTTTTTATCCTTTTTTCTTTAAGCTAGTATACTAGTATTTATTCAGCTATTTTTTTATTAAGCTGTGTACTTTCCCAAATCGTTGAAAAAACTCAACTCGAATGGACAGAGGTGACGAAGCATGGGTACCTATATGAGCGAACGGTAGGAAGAATTGAGACGAACCTTTACTGGTGAGGGGAATGTCCTCATAGCGATTTTTCCTGACGGACATGGTGCAACTGTTCCACTACGGCGGGAAAACAACGGAACCCGAACACGCTAGCATGGCTAGAGGGCGCGCGTCCACATCCTGCGTCCTGCTAGAGGGATGCTCCCGGCCAACTAAAGAGCGCCTCGCACGCAGGGCGCTCCTCGCCCTTCGCGCCCTCCGCCGGCCCGCTTTACGCGCCCTGTCACGCGCAGCCATCCGATCCAGGGATGGAACGATTTTCTGCCTACCTCACTCGATATTCGATACGCTCCAAATTCGATGCTTCCACCTGGACCCACGACTTCGACCCCACGCCCCACGGTGGATCGAGTCAATGGGAGAGGTAGGACAAAATGGACCACTAGACAAAGTACGAATTTCAGCATTCTGATACATGTTTCGTAACTAAAATTTCACGTGAAACACGATGCGAACGATCAAAATTGCCGAAATTAACTCCTTATGAAGATATTTAATGATTCCTGATGCGTAAATTCAAACCACCCGCTCATGAAAACGCAATGCTCTACGTCGCGTGCTAAACGTTATCATGACAGTCTTTGCGATATGAACACTGGAACCAACGCGTGCGCGTTGTGCTCCCGCTTCGCGAAATGTTTTCCTGAGTTAATTTGATAAGTTAAATGTAAAATTGCTACCCAAGTGTGCGTTGTGAAATTCTGCATCTTTTAGTACTAAAATTGTGACTGTGTGTGGTGATTGTGCTGTGAATCTGGGAAATTCTTAATTGCACATCACTGCTGGTCCTCCGAAAGAATTTAAAAAATTTCAATCATTCTCATCCTAGCTTGTAAACAATCAAGAACAACGCTGCCATGTCAATTGAAAATAAGCTATCACCTCGTGTCACACGAGCCAGTGTTTTGAGGCAGGACACTATCAACAAATTACGGGATAAACACCAGACCAACAAGAAATCTCCCAACCCTGACATTCTGAAAGGCGTCCGAAATCTCGCCCGTCCACCGACTGATAAAGCTGGTGTATCTCGAGCTAGTAACAACAAGAGATGTCATCTCACTGTGCACAACGACATGTTGCCAAATCAACGGAAGAAAGCGTCAAAAAGGGCCGTCGGGATTGCATCATCTTCCCTCCCCAACAAGAAACAATGTTCCACTGCACAAGGGTCAACATCTCCGTCTCGGTCCCCCCCGTCTCCATCTGACTTGCAAAAGGGAATCCAGACTGATGTTTCTTTTTGGGACCTTACCCCAACTTCCGGTACCACAATATCATCAACATCACCATTGTCGGACTCCCCTCAGATTAAAGACACTGATCACGAAAGGTTCCTACATCGGCAGGTGGGTGTCCAAACTGATGCTAGTCTAGATCTAACCACTCAAAGAGACGCTTTAATCTGTGAGCTTGTTGAGACGACAGGAAAATACAATGCAGCAAAGTTAGAGATAACTAATATTTCTATTATTAACAGATCTCTTGAAGAAAAAGCAAGATTTCTCAGTGAGGAGCTACAGAAAGCCAAGGAAGAACTTCTCTACCTCCAAAAAGCTAAAAATTACATGCTTACTAAATTAAGGAGAAAAAATTCAGATAAAAAAGATATCTGTGACTTTAGTCTCAGAAATACTTGTATTTTTAAAAAATTTAGAGGCATAGGTGAACAGATCTCCTATAATCTGGGTAAACCAGAGATCGGAGAAGGTACTATTGTAAGGAATTATAAAGAAGTTACTACCGTAAGAAAACGTAAAATCTTAATCTTAGCAGACTCTCATGGCCGCAAGGTCTCAGAAATATTGAAAAGTAAATTAGGCAATAATGGAGAATTTGAGATATGTTCCATCATAAAACCTGATGCACCTCTTAAGCATGTAACTACGCACATCAAAGGCTTGTCAAAAAATTTTTCCAAACAAGATATTATATTAGTTTTAGCAGGCTCTAATGATATTCCCCCTCATCCTCATGTCGGGAGAATGACAGACTATGTATTATCAAGAGAATTGCACCGACTTGCCATGGATACATTGCACACTAATCTGTTTATCCCAAAGCTTTTCCACAGATACGATTTACCAGGCTCGATAACTGTTAATTTTAAAAGGTACTTTGACTCACAAATTGAGCACGTGGCTGGTAAATTTTCACATATTACGGTATTTGACGTAGACATCTTTAAAAGAGATATGTTCACTGCTCACGGTTTTCATCTAAGTTACTCAGGCAAAAATGAACTATTGAATATTTTTCTAAAAAAAGTAAGTTCCTCTTTAAACTTATTTTAAATGACGCAGCAGGTCTCGCTGAATGTGAAGAAAAAAACGAAAACGAAAATGTAATTTTTGAAAATTTAAATCGCAAAATCAATTTTAGCAACACTAATGATATCGGTCAAATATTCTCACTGTTAAACTTCAATATTAGAAGTATTCAAGGCACTGTAAAATCCCACCTGCTGCACTTGGAAATCTCTAAGCTGCAGAAACTTCCTGACATAATCTGTATCACCGAACACTGGTTTAAAAACTTGGCCCCAATACCTATTAAAGACTATGTTTGCGCAAACTTCTATTCCAGAGATAAAAAGAAGGGGGGAGGCTCCTCAATCTATTTAAGAAACAGCCCCGGAGCACCAGTTATTCTGTTCTCACCCTGTGAAGAATTGACTAAACTCGCAATAGAGTCAGCTTTTGAAATCAGTGCAGTTATTATAAAGAAAATCGACCAATGGGTCCCAAGTGCCCCTTTCCTTATAATCAATATTTACAGCACGCCCTCTTGTGACACTGAACTATTCTTTCATAAGCTTGAAGAACTGCTTTCTATAATCGTTAAAAAGAAAGCTCATTTTTTAATATGTGGTGACTTCAATATTAACTTATTGGATAAAAATTGCAAAGAATCTTCCTATTTTCTTAACATGCTTTCTTGTCACAATCTTGAGCCTGTATTCAAAAATACTCCATCTCGGATCTCCAAAGACTCTAAAACCTTAATTGACAATTGCATAAGTAACTTTCCAATTTCTAACGCGATAACTTTTGATCCTGGTCTTTCAGACCATAGGGCGCAAGTAATATCGATCGAAAAGAAAGTAATTGCAGTAAAATCTGAAAAAAATAGGGGCTACCGCTCCTGGACAATTGTAAATAAATTCAATCTCAGAAGTCTCCTAATTTACTGTATGTCAATTCTAATGTTATGTAAAGATAATGTATCACTTGAATTTAATAAGTTTAACTCACTTCTGTACAATGCAATGGAGACCTGTTGTCCAATCAAACCCAATATGAAGGATAAAAGATCACGAACTTTCAAATATAATGATGAAATTTTAGCTTTAAGTGAGAAGAAAAAACATCTCTATGAGAAATACAAGAACACTGGCTCTAAAAAGTTCAAAAAAGCTTGGAACGTAGCAAATAAACAATGTAAAAAGTTATTGTACACTTTGAAGAGAAATTCTAATGATCTTAAATTAAAGAACTCCAAAAACAAAAGCAAGACAGTTTGGAACATCATTAAAGAGGAAACAGAGAGGTTTCAATCTCCCTTAATTGACATTGTTGAGTCCGATGGTCAGATATTCACTGATCCCTACGACATAGCAAACTCTTTCAATAAATTTTTCACTGGTCTTGCCTCAAAATTTAATGCTAATGCTGACATTCCTGCAGCCATGAACTTATTGCGAGACACCATCCCTATAAGTACATCATTAGAATTTTCCTTCAAACCAATTAGTTTGGAAACTCTTTCCACTGTTATTAAGGATCTTAAAACAAACAATCAAGATACCTTCGGAAACATTCCCACCAAACTACTGATTGAGAACTTTGATGTAATAGGAGACCCTCTCTTGAAACTTGTAAACCTCTGCATTACAGAAGGTGTCTTTCCTGAATTCATGAAAAAGGGAACTGTCACCCCTCTCTTTAAAAAGGGTAATCGTAAGCTTGTAACCAACTATCGTCCAATTACTATAATTCCAACCTTAGCTAAAGTTCTAGAAAAAATCCTTTATAATCAGCTTTACAGCTACTTTGAAACCAATCAGCTGTTTGACGACCACCAATTTGGCTTTCGCAAAAAAAAATGCACCACTCAGGCTATTCAAAAATTAGTGGACAACATTTATTCGGCCTTTGAAAATAAATCCCCTATAGCAAGCATCCACTTCGATCTATCTAAAGCATTTGATACAGTAGACCATAGCCTCCTTTTATACAAACTTCAACACTACGGCCTAAACGAATCTTCAATAATGCTTATACGATCATACTTATCCAACAGGTTTCAATCGGTCAAAATAGAGACTGTGGATGGCCCTGTCTTCTCTGAGACATTAAATGTCAATTTAGGAGTTCCCCAAGGATCATGTCTCGGACCCCTGCTCTTTATAATTTTTATCAACGATCTCCCAGGTTTTCTAGATGCCCTCACTTTCTTATTCGCAGATGATACCTCTACAACAGTCAGAGGGGAAGATGTACTTACTCAGTTAAAAACAACTTATAACCAAGCACACAATTGGTTCAAAGCGAATGGCTTGTCCTTGAATGAAGATAAGACTCAATTAATTTCTTATGTTCCGTCTAAAAGAGTCAAACAACCTACTGATCTTACTTATGGAAATACATTTGAAATCGACGATAACACCCAACTTAATTTTCTTGAATCCACAAATTTCTTAGGAGTATTTTTAGATCAGTACCTTACATGGGAATCCCACATTGATAATATAATTAGAAAACTCCAAAAGAGCAAATGGGCAATAAGAAATCTTGTGAAAGTTGCCTCTCTCAGTTCTGCTCTCCTATATTACCATGCTAATGTAATGTCTCACATCCGCTATGGAATCGCTGTATGGGGCAGGAGTAGCTTTACAAAACGTGTTTCCAACGAACACCTCAAGATCATTAGAATTATATACAACAAACCATATGGAAGTGACTGTAAAGAAATAATGTCATCAGAGAGACTGTTTACAGTGACCTCTTTATACATCTATGAATGTATTAAATATGCAGTAGAAGGAGAAATAATAAAGCCGGCTGATCTATTTCCCACACACAACTACAACAGCAGACACTTCTTCATCCCCAACAATTCCACCAAGTACAAAATTTCTGAAAACAGTGTTAAGTTTGCTTCTATTCAGCTGTTCAATGCTCTCCCTCTAAATATTAGACTTCACTTTAAGAACTCAGAGATCAGCAAATTTTTTTCACATTTGAAATCGTTTCTTTTGGCTGAATCCTTTCAAGATCTCTCTGAGTTTTTCACCACTGCTTAACTTCCTAACTTAATGTTCTAGTATTGATAACTCACGGTATTCACTCTCTCTGTTTTCCAACTTGCTGTTATTGCAGGTTATAAATTTATTATAAGATAAATTTGTTTTAACGTCTTTTTTGTAACTAAATACCATGTTGACTAGTACAATAGCCCCATATGGTGGCTTTATGTATGTTATGTAAAAAATAAAAATAAAAAATAAAAAATAAAAAATAAAAATAAAAATCTGGCAACCTCAATCTTGGCGCTTTGGCTCAGCTATAGCAAATTGCTATTAGTTTGAACAACACACGGTGGGAAATGAACATTGCTCGATTGAGAAACTTGCTGGGACCGTTGTAGTGCGCGATTTGACTCACGTAGAGCTGTTAGTTTGTAGTCATTCCTCTTAACCAAATTAATTTTCGTTGTGCAAATCGTGTATGACGTGAAATTCTGGTTAAAGAAACATGTATCAGATTGCTTAAATTCTTACCTTGTCTAGTGGCTCATTCAGGAACTTTAAACGCTTACAACTCCGTTTGAACAAAACTTTGAGGTTCTAAAAGAGGCTCCATTGGTTTTCTCGTGAAATTTTCAACTACAAGCACCCCTTGAAATGTAAAATGTGGCAAAATAAATATAAAAATTTGCAGTTTTATTAGTAGGTACCTGTTCGACGTCTCCAATTGACTCGATCCACTGTGCGCCCCACGCTTTATGCGAGCGACGAGATGCAAAATCGATAAGTCGAACGGCGTCGCTCTTTACTGGATTGCGTCAAGCAGAAAGGGACCAAGCCAAATCAGCTTTTAATTATTATACAAAATAATTGTTTACAACAATTTGTCCATACAAATGAGAGTGTCTCAATTTTACTATACGATTGAAGAAAAGAGTGCAGTTAAAACCTTACGCCAGAAAAAAAAGACAAACTATTAGGGGTGAGTCCTGCCGCTCGTACTAAGGGAAAACGCTGTATGAACATTTGAGAGTTGCCAAGTTTCCCCGGATGAAACAAGTATTTTTGACGAAATTTATGAATAATTTCCCAAAGGCCCCTTGCCAAAGTCTCGGGCTGGTTTTCACGACCTCTCGAGCTTGGTAGTAGAAAATTCAGGAAGCTGCACTGCACTGAGGATTGGCCCAACAAGGCCGAAACCCGTCTGTACTTGCCTTCTTGAATGGACGTAACTATTTTTGCACCAAACAGCATATCTCTTTGAGGGATAACTGTGCTCACATGAGCTTTTTCCCTCTGCATTGAGATTCTCAGCTTTATGCTGAATTTTTAACGCACGTTGGCAAAAAAGTCTAACATACTGTCATAATTTCCCCCTGAAATTTTCAGATATTTGGATTAAATTGGGAAAAAGTAGTCTGAAAAGTTTGAAAAAAATATATTTACAACTTCCCCAATAAATTCTTATATGTACATGTCAATGCCAATATGGCTGGCTTTCCCAGAACATGGTAAAAAGATTGAAATAATCGAGCTACAAGCCACAAAAAAATTGAACAAATAATATTTTAAACTACAAAGAGATGAGAAATATGCAGTTTGTAATATTATGTAGTTTGAATTATTATTTGTTTAATTTTTTTGGCTTATAGCTCTATTATTTCAATAAATTATTGTTTTATCAGAGAGGATGCGCCTGAAGATTCTTACGACGCTCCTCCTTAGCACGACAGAGTAGGAGAGGGGAGGGGGGCGTAAAGTTGCAGGGCGTAGTGCGCACGCATGAGCGAAACGTCCGCACGACGATAATAGCCGTAAGGAGGCGGGGAGGAGCGGGGGAGGCGCGAGGGAAATTTGAGAACGGATCAGAGATTGACGCGCGTAAATATGAAAAATGAAGGGGGAATCAAATAAAGAGACGGAGCCGACTCCCTGATGACGTGCTGTGGCGGGGGGAGCGGGTGGAAGACGTGGGTCGTGCCCGCGGACTAAAGCTGAAGGGTCCCAGCCGAGGAGCATCCCTCCGAGAGGGCTCCCTAGCAGGAGCGAACGGCGGACGGGCGCATTAGCCCGCGTCTTCCCACGCGCGCCGCGTCGCACACCGTCTTTCCCCTCACGTGAGGGCGTACCTCGATTTCTGTTGGAGCCCCTTTATACCTAGAGTTAAGACATCTCGATTATCAGATGGCCTGGGCTGGCCATCACTGAAAAAAAATCTCGGTGTATTTACTAGGAAAAGGGTAAAATTACCAAGAATTCAGGGTTCTATTTGATCCCTGTTTTTTCTTGGTAAAATTACCATTTATGGAATTGGTAATTTACCGATAACTCTCGGTTATGGAATTGGTAATTTTACCGATAAATCGCGGTTATGGAATTGGTAATTTTACCGATAAATCTCGGTTATGGAATTGGTAATTTTACCGATAAATCTCGGTATAGTTATTGAACTTTCTCGGTAATTTTACTGGACCTTGGTAAAAACGCCAATATTTCTCATCGACTGTGGTAGGATTACCGAGATAAAATGGCAAAGTTACCGGGAATTGATTACCAATAAAAGTGGTATTCTTACCTGAAAAAAACAGTTAAAATACCGGTTTTTAGGTAAGCTTACCAGTCTGTCTAAGTAACAAGTACCAGTAAAATTACCAATAATTGGTAAAAAAAAGTGAGATGGTGAAGGTACCAACGGACCTTGGTAAAAGCGCCGAGAATTTTTTTTCAGTGTTGTGTCACAAAAGTGTGCACCCAAACGAACGACATTGAGGGATAAGGATAAGGAATCCTGCGATGTCCGTCATTCAAAAACAACAACATCCACAAAACTGATCAAACCCTAACCAAAGAAATTGCAATAAAATAAAATTAGATTGATTTTTGAATCATTTCTTGATCTATTTTCATTTTAGTGCGATGAAAACAACAATTAAATCTTGATGAACCACAATTTGGTTATATTTTCATTATTTTTGTTCACATTCGAGGCACCGCCATCTTGGTGCACTTATTTGTGACTCCATGAGCGAGAAGCAATTATAATTGGATTTTTTAAAGCCTCTTTTTCAGCCCAACCAAAAGTGAGATGTCGTAGCTCTAGGTATAAAATGACTCAAGATTTCTAAACTATCTCGGAAAGCATGATGGTTATACGGATAATAGGGCTCACATGGGAAATGGGAGACGCCCTTTCACCAGAAGACCGACTCTGCCGTGATAGCGAGGAGGGCAGTGCGTGTCAAATTTTCGAAATCGAGTCTCCTTCAAAATTCGTCTTAACTCTTTTAGAAGGAATCACTGAATTAGCTAAAACCAGGGCCGGATCAAGGGGGTGGGCACATGGGCCGCGGCCCATGGCGGCAAAATGTAGGGGGCGGCAAATTTTGCAATTGTTTTGAATGTAGGTATCAAAAAGAGAGAGAAAAAAATCTGATTCAGAAAATAAAGTACAAACGAGAAAAGACGACAAAATCTCGCATTTCCTGAGAGTAAAAGTACAGTAATTTCTAATTTTGTCGTCTCTCGGTGATACATGAGACAACACCTTCAATTAGTCGAGTTAAGAGAGAAACCAAACACGCAATTTGACCTGGAACGGAGCGGCGCGGCGGTCAGCATGAAACGCATAGCGCCTACAAGACTGCATGAATACTTCACGCATTGCGTCAAACACGCTGCGGTCAGCAGTAGCCGGCTCGAAACGCATAGCGCCTACAAGACTGCATGAATACTTCACGCATTGCGCCAAACAGTGTGGTCAGTAGCGGCAGCGCTCGACGTGAAACGCAAAGCGCCTACAAGACTCTAGAAGTACTTCACGCATTGCGCAAAACACAGTGCGGTCAGCGCGGCGCGGCGGCGGAAGTTAAAATTATTAAACCACATTTATGTTTATTCTTCCATAATTTTTTCGTTCATTTCTTATAAATGGAGGGCCTTGTCCACACAGAGATAGCATAGGTTTACGGAACTCAACTCTCGCGCAAAGTTCCGTGAAATTTTGCTGGTAGTGTTGACAAAGGGCTTTCGCAATTATGTGTCCAAACACGAATAATCGCGTCTTATGCACCCCTAATCCTCCGGCACGTTCACTTTGGTTTTTATTGATGTTTCAAAACGAATGAGAAGGGGTCAGCATAATACAGGCGGCCCATATGGGCGGCAAGTCAAGGCGAGCACGTGAATCCGGCCCAGTCGGAGATACGTGTTTTCGGAACTAATAATAAGTAGGAGGTACTTTTTAACATTTTCCATCGTTTTCAAGAATTTTTCCGAATTTTCTCGGTCATAATCTCTAAAAGTCAGATAAAATGTATCCCCTACAGTATGCATTTATGCAACTAATTCAAAATTGATAATAATGTAGAAAATAATGTGTTTTTGATCTGTCGCCCGCGTATAGTGGGATGGGTGCAGTTTTTGAAAAAATTGAGATATTAATAATTTCAACTAACACAGGTCTTAAAACATAGTCTGCTAAATATTTAATACTAAAATCCAATCTTAAAGCATCAAAAAGTGGGTTTAAGCTGTCTCTCCGCCGTAAGGAACATCGTCATTTTGAAATGTTAAACATGTATTTCTTGAAATTGCAAAAACTGCACTTATTCCAACTTGTCCGTAAGCCCCTCAATCAAAATATATGACGAGGCTATCCAGACCCGTAACTTCAGTCACGGGCATTTCGCTAGTTTATGATAAAAATAGGCACTGAAACGTGAAAAGACAACTCCCTTCAATCTGTTTTGATGCAAACCACTATGCACGTTGCCTCAGTCAATGTTGTTTTGCATCATTTACGTTTTTAGGTTATGTTGATTTGAAGGACTTGAACTTTTTCAGCGCTCCTCCTCTCTCACAGTAAATTGTGTGATTTTGTAAATTGATTTTCGCATTAAAGTTATCGTATTTCAGCAGTTTCGGACTTGTCTTTTGATGTTCTCATAAAAAATGTTTCGTTGTATGTAAAGCACTTTTGTCTGTGAACTTTTGGCTAGTGTAATCACTTCCTAACTCAGGTACGTCCTAATCATCTCTAATCATCAATACTTAGTTGCTCGCACCCATATGAATTAATTTTCAATCATTTATCCGATGATGACCCGAAAATTAATTATTCGGAGGTAGTTCAGAGACCATCGGAAAATCCTGTTCAAACAGATCGGACTGGTTCTTAACTTCTGTATTGCATCCTGAATTTCCAGCAAGTTCTGTAGGCACTCGCTGTATGCTCAATTCACGTTGATCGCAGATTTTGATACCTTTAAGTTCATTTCATTTTGAGGCACTTAAAATCCAGGAAAAATAGTATGCTCACATTTGAAACTCAAACTACGTCAGTCCTCCAGACTATAGTGGACGATGATCAGAGATTACTAACTTGCTCCTCCTAGTATTAGGAAAAGTAACTAACAATTTTTCTTATACAATTGACATGTAATCGAAAGTTAGCTTTGCATTATGATAAAGAGTTTCTGAAATGATTTTGTTCCCTTAAGTTCTTAATTTATCAAGTAAATAAGTGTGACCTAAAGTTGCGTCTCTTTCAGATTCAGCATCTCACATGCAACAGAATGCAAAACTCTTAATGCTTGGGATTTTTTCTTTGGTATCTGAGGCACTGTACCTGTAGCATTCCTCAGGAGAAAGCCTGACTAATGTGTATTTATGCCTTGCATTCCAGTCTAATTACACGGTTATTATTTTTTATTGCTTGCAAAATCAAATACTTATTTCTTCTTATTTGGTTAATGTTTTTCTGGGATATATCTGATTGTGATACATAGCTAAAGGATGCCAACCCATTCCCGAAGTCGCTGAAGTAATAATTGCAGAAACATCCTGGATCCTAGCAAATAATTTTGTACTACGCACATATTTTTTCAACTTCATCTGTCAGATTGTAATTCTTTTTTAACATAATTTTACTGACTTTGTAACTAGGTACTGTTTTTGTACTTACATTCTAATTGTTTGTATTCTTTACAGAATAATGGTTGTGTACACAGAAGCGAATCAAAGACTTGCGGATAGAAGACCCTGTGCGGGCTCACGAGCTGATTTGAAACTATGTCTCTTAAATAGTCCCTGTTGCAAAGATGTAAGTTTACACTTTTTAGAATATTTTAAGCATCCCCATTTGTGTTGCAAAGCGCATTTCAACCGTGTAAGTCGAGATGCATAACTCGGTTTGCGACGTTGCAGACTTCCTGTCATACTTTATTTTTTAAATGGAAAAGCACTCAACAGCAATTCCTTAAAACTGCCGTGATTTTTTCTCTCTGTGCGAAAAAAGTTCTGCATAAACTTCAAGGAATGATGTCGATTTGTTCTTCTTCAAAAAAATAACATAGTGGGGGAGATTTTCAGACACCCCAATTGAGATATGTAATTGCGGACTTGCGCTGTCGATCTGTATCCTGTCATGCAAGTTGGACACACATAGGTGTCGCACTTTGCACCCTCTTAACGTCACATGATATTTGGTACATTGAGGGTGCATTAAAATGACGAGGCAAAGTCTGCACCCGCTGCAAGGAACAAGTCTCTGAAATGACAGCTCAAATCGATATGCGACCAACTCTGCTTAGCCACCTTGAACTGCATGAGTGGCTTTCAAATCTCTGAACTCTCAAAAAAAAAAATATGTAGGCTCTTTGTGATGGCCAAGTTGAAGAAATTTAGTCAATGAACTGATTCAGTCATCTGAAAATGGAATCTTTGAACCATCAGAAAATGAAAAAAAAATCGTCTCACATTGTCTACTACTTAATTTGTTAATGGAAATAATTACCTCCTTTTTACTAGTCGTTAAATATGGTTTTCTTTTTTTTTTTTTTTTAGCATAAAAGGACTCCAAAAGAGTGCTTGAAAGCAAAAGATGGCACTGTTCCAGAAGAATGCTATGCCCTGTACAATACATTTTTTGAATGCAAACGATCCATCGTAAGTTATCCCAAATAATAAAGAATCAATTTAACTTTTAAGTGAAAATATGGTAAATTCGAGGGTGTCCTCCTTATTGAAAAATTACAAACACCCTGAAAAAGCATGGACTTTAAAACATCAGTAGGTACGGAAGTATAAGTATGAAAAAAGTGAGGATTTTTCATATGAAGTCACAGAAATTTGAAATTTTTCTGATGAAGTTAAAGAATCCCACAAAATCCAATTTAGATTCCAGCATATTTCAGTCTTTCATTTCTCAAGAATTCCCTGGTTTCACTTTCCCAATTCGAATTAATTTACTTATCTTTAGAAACAATTTGCCCTTCTGGCAATGAGGAAACAAGCTTTTTAGGATACCTCTGAAAGGAGGAACTTCCGTCCTTGATGAAACTTATCGTTCCCTCATCACAACAAAAGTGATTTTATTGCCAACTGAATGTTTTTTTGATGATTTAAATAGGTGTGGCTTTTTACCCCTACCTACCCTATTCAATTCTGCATAACTGCTACTGTGTTCTTCTTTATATCAATGTTTTCAATATACATATAATTTTTTTGCAGCTTGACATGCGAACAAGGTTTCGAGGGAGGAAAGGGTACTGAGATGGTCATCGGAGCACTATATTTTCTCTGAAAGTTGCCTTCAAGAACCCTTAGTGTTAAAATGTCTGAAGGGATTAAGTTGAACTCATAGTTTCACATTTAATTTGTTATCATCAGAAGCAAAATGTTTGATGTCACCTCCGAGAAGTTTGAGGTTCCCATCCAAAAATATCTTACACTTAAGTGAGAACAGGTCCATAAGATGTTTTTAATGAAAATTTATTGACTGTTCTGGTAAACATGGTAAGCTATTAGTCAATTTAAGTTTGCTAACTTTCTCGAAGGTCTTTGACACAAGTCAAACCTGTGAATATCCTTGTCCTTCTAAAAACAATTACTTATGTTAAGTTTTTCCCAAATATTCCTGTTAATTGTAAATAATCGAAGAATCTTAGAATAAAATATTGGAAGGTAAATTTTCCTTATGATTATCCCTTGTACCTGCTTTACTCATTACTGAGTCAATGCTATCATTTTAAAGTTATCACGGATGATGGAGTGAAGTCACTAGTTCCTATGTTTTCAGAAACAACATTTGAAGTTGGAATATTTCTCCAAAACCTTTGTTACAAATGACTTTTACACTCTAATATTGAGCTGTAGTGCTCTTTTTTTGTGCTTTAATATCAAACAAATTTTGCTTGAAATGACTTGCATGTATCCAGCAATATGCAGTCCTCCTACCTGGCAAAAAGTGATCAAGAAAACGTATTGCCACAACATTACTGCCGAAATTAATGTTGTATAACAATGTTTTTGTGATGTTTTTTTTTAGCATTATTTTTAGCAGTTACCGAGTGGGTTGTCCAGAAAGGCAAATACTGCTTACCTTTCTTGAGAAGGGAAAAGAAAGTTATACCTACTTATACATACAATCAGTTGAATTATTGTTGAACATAAATGAAAAAAGGTCATGAGTAATGGTGAAGGAGCAAAAATAGAAGGGTAGAAATAGAAGCACGCATAGGAGTAACAGCAAATTGAAGCGATAAAGCTGCACTGTGCTGTGCGGAGAGAACATAGCCCAACACAAGCTATGAACAATTGCTGGCATGGGCAGACTGAATAAGCGCGGCTCCATGAGAGAATCAAGACAGGAGGTCATTGCAGTGAGCACTATGTTTCAATGATTAGATACCAGACAGCAGCTTGCCTTTCTCTGCTGCAGAATAGTCGCAAGTTTGCAATGCATCACATGGAGCTGTTGTCTGAGCTCATCATTGCTCTTCTTGTCATTGGGACTTGAAAATATCCTAACGGGCTTAGCCTTTCTTTGAGTAAAAGTTAGCTTCTCCTGATCAACCACGATATATTGAGCAATAATGACATTTAAGTATATAGACTAAGTCCGCAAACACGTATCTCGTTTGCAGTGTGAAAATCTCTGCTCCTATTTTATTTTTGAAAGGAGGAACAAATCAACATCATTTTTTAAAGTTTTCACAGAATTTACTTTGCACAGAGTAGATAATTCAAGACAGTTTTTAAGAATTGCTTTAAGTAGTTTTCCATTTAAAAAATAAAGTATGCTGAGAAGTTTGCCACGTCGCAAACCGAGATACGTGGTTGCGGCCTCATACTGTCGAAATCTATATTATAGATACGCAAGCTGTAAGGATGCGTTGTGTTTAAGATCTTAAGTTATGTTTTTTCATCCCCCCCCCCCTCTCCTCGCGACGGAAATTGAAATTTCCCGCGCTTATTCATATTTGCTCAATTCCCACTTTGGCCTGTAGAGGCCGCTTTCATCTGATAGGGGGAGAGGAAGGAAGGGGAGGGCACGATTTTCTCATCGCTGCTGCCAGCTCGCGATTTGCGAGTTCGTCGGCTTTTGTTTGGATTTCAATTTGTAAACAACTGTGGGATCACGTTTAGTTCGGTTTAGTGAAGTTTTAGTTCCCTTTCCAGCGAGTAAATTAATACCCTCGAGCGTGCAGGGTTACCTATTTTTGCCGGCTCAGCATTGAAATCAACCGATCATTTACCCCCTTCAAACAATGCATTCTTCGTCAGTTTAATGGAGCCAGTGTTTGTTCGTCTTCAACTTTGCTGTCGAGTGACAGTCTCTCTGAATCTAGTCGTATCTGGTTTGTATTTCCATGAATATTTTCAAATGTTGACATCCAAGTATTGTATTATTCAAACCTCTAGTTCACAGCTCAGGTCAGTGCCTGTCAAATTGAATCCACAGGCTCATGACGGATTTACCGTCTTTGAAAAGTATCAGTTCTCCGCATCTAGGCATCTAGTGTATGCCATCAATGAAAATTTAGCCTGAATCTATGTAAGTCCGCTGGAACCCATCAAATCATCAAGATCCTCCTAAAGTCTACGAGTTGAAATGGTTAACATCAGTTTTTCTCTCATTTATAACTATCGTAGCTGGAATTAAAAGAGGAGCAGATCTCATTTTAACGGAATAAATTGTATGTGCTTTTACTTAAATAGAGCATATTCCTCCATAGGTGAGCCGAATATTTTTATCTGAAAGAAGTACCTAAGTAGCATCTGTTGATGGAAGCACAAATGAGTAGTCGACAACCATTCCAGGGTCTGTAAGCTCTCTCTAATCCTAAATAATTTAGGATTGCTTATTATTGCTTGTAATAATTCCCTACATTTCTTGAGAATTCCACTGCCATACTTATCTCTTCCCAAAAAAATTTCTGACTGTTTCACTATCATACCCAGATTGATTTTTTCAACATTACGAACGCTGTCTGGGGAAATGAAAATTGTTTCCTGATGATAATATTAGCTCTTTATTTTGCAAAACCCAGCATTTCTGTCACAGTTCTGACAATACATCTTTTTCTTTTTCAGAGTGAGATGGGAATATTTGAACAATCCAGCTTATTCAGTCAGTGTTCAATTCTTCTCTGAGCTCTTCAAAATTAGGAGAATGAATTGGTAAGTTAGTCTACTTTCTTCACATTTTTTTTCTTGCAGGAGAATCTTTTTCTCTCTTGCTTTTAACACTGATTGTGAGAGGTGCATTGGTAGACCAAGGGGAGTGAGAAATTATGGAGACAATACACATATCATTGGGTACAGTTGGAACACCCGCAATTGAAGCATAAAGAGAAAAAGGAGGAGTCTGCATTTCGGGAATGTTGGATTTTTTTATGACATAGGAGAGTACGGACGACTTTTATCATCAGTTTTCTTAATTTTCTTGGAAATGGTGTATTCAATGGAAGAAAGTTATTCTATAGAAAGTTTTTAAAATTATATCGTGAGTTGATTGAAGCAAAAAAATCGGATGTCATGTTCCGTTTATCATACTTCAAATTCTGGATTTTGCTGACCAGAGCATTAGCTTGGTTGAAGGACTACCTGCAAAAAAGAGAGCAGGCGCTTAGTTGGGGGAAAGACTTTCTGACAAAATTCGTGTTAAATTTGGAGTGCCACAGGGGAGTAGGCTAGAAAAGAGGTTGTACTCACCTACATCACAGGGTAAACAATCCTCAAGATGCAAACAGCTCCTTTTTTCCCCTACGCATTTGAAGAAATTTAAGGATAAGTGAGAAAAAGTAGGGAATGTTAAGAGTTGAATTGAAAGAAAGCTACTGAATTGAATTAGCCCTTCAAGGTTATTTTAGGTATCATAGAAAAAAAAAAAAAAAAATGTTGAAAATTGCTTTGAGCCAACCTTAAACTTTTTTCACTTTTGCAGGTTTGTTCACGTTGTCGCTTTCCATCCATACATTGTTCTCATCGCTATTGGCGTTTTGTCATCCTCCTGCCTAATAATTCCACTGGTAACCAAGAATCTGCCTGATTTTCAAAGTCCTCAACTGGTGAGTGCTTGAATAAGTCATACTTACCAACTGTCATGAGACAAAACTAAGTACCTAATTGAAAAAAAAAAAAAAAAAAAAAATTGTGATTTTTTTATTAAAATGTCTTACACTTGTAAATAAATTATTGAGTTTGACTCTCCATCATCTTTTATCAGCTAAGTATATATATTTATTACAATGTTATCAGGTATATTATATACTATTTCATTCTCCTTTTTTTGTCCTTCAGAAAACCCCAATCACAAAAGTATCTTGTGAACGTATTGAAAATATGTTCAAACTCCTTCATTTTTAATGTTTTTTTGTTTTTTTTTCGTTCAATGTTTTTGAGGAAAAGTTTCTATTAAGTTTCTCTTTTGTTTTTTTGGTCCCCGATCTTCCTTGATCAAAAACTGTTTTAAAGTTAAACTTTGCTGTAACTTTTGCATTTGCTTTCAGGGATTTGAGGCTCGTGGAAATGACATTGGTCAAAGGCTGACTGCGTTGAGTAATTTGGATGATGAAACTCGGTATACTGGTTCATTGACATTAAATCCAAGTGAGTTGCGTCTAGCAGAGGAGTATGCCAAAAGACCTAAACCAACATACAGTCCAGAAGAGGTATGCTTTTGATCCTTTGCATGCAAGGAAACACCTAGCAACTTATAATTTGTATATTTTCATTAGTTTAATTCGGAGTAGTTGCAACAAATATGTAGCAAATACATGCTTTAGGATTTATAGGTACATAAATTGCAGTATCTAGGTGAATAATTTTAAAAAAAGTCAAAACCACCAACTTACTTCATATTATTCTTAAGTTCTCAAACTGTGAAATAAGTCCATTACAACAGGTGATAGAATGGGGCCTCAGAAAAATAGGATTTGTTGAACATTTTAAATCTTTGAAGCCGCAAGCAGATCCAATAACATGCCAGAGCTCCATAAAATAGAGAGTAATCTGTAAATTTTTTATGATTTTCTGATGAAGTGGGAACAGTTGGACTATCTGAAACATGTTATAGCTGTCACAATGCGTATGCTTTGTTTTGGCCACATCAATAAACAGAGCTCGTTGCTTCTATAGCAAGGTGTAAAAATTATAGTACCGAAGTCTTATAATTTCATGTCTATGGAATTTCAAAAGTACTTGTCAAAGCACATAATTTTGTTGTTGTATGAGTCTCTTTTCTAAGCAAATCATGACCATATTTCATTTTTTCTCTTTCATCTACTTAAGGAGGAAATGGACATGGAAGATTCCGATGAAGAAGCACCTGATGGCAAAAATAACAAAAAACTATCAACATCAAACACTTCTGTGGTGAGTACTTCACTTTCAGATTTTTCACACAGAGTTACGATAATCAAATATTTGAATGGGCGAATAAAGTAAATATTCCATTATAACTTATAATTATGGTAAATATTATTTTCTGCTACTATTACTTACAATTATTGCAGAAAATAAATAAAATCGTCAATGGAGGAATTTTGCTCTTGTCTTGCTTTGCGGTGCTAGGTCATAATCATAGAACTCTTTGCCAGATTTTGTGAGTCTTCTTCAGGCAGAATGCAGTCTGAAAAAACGAATTATGTCGTAAGTACGGAAGTCGTCTTTTTCGGATAATATGTCTGAGAAAAAACATGCAAAATCCTGGATAGCAAACAATGAATCTTGCATAGTATCGCAGCAATGTGGATCACATTGTTTAAAATTTAAGAGTGCATTTTCACCAGATCATTTTTCATCCATTTGAAAGCCTTTAAAAATAAGACTTCAATTATTAAGGCACCAGTAAGAAATATCAAGGTACATTCTATGCATTATACTGATATTTGATGAGGAAGATGAATAGATCTCATTTTGTCTCTTTTCTTTGTTATGTAAGATTGTGGAAGAAAACCATAGGAACAAGACCACGGAAGATGAAGAATGGGAAGAATTACACTCCCCAGATTTAATTCATCATGGACCTACGTATTACGGAGATGACTATTTTTGTGGTTCTCCAAGTGAGTATTTGTCCAAGATATTTAACATTTCCTTACAATTTCTGAGAGAAACTTGATGGGAGAACTTCAGTTCTAGACTCTGACTTGTACGACAAATTAAGTCATCAGCTGTATGAACGATCTTGTAAGCTTGAAGTCTAGGTCTTCATTTCATCACCAGCCCCCTGTACTCTGTGTTATGCTCCTAAAATGTCTTAAGCTTTTTTTGACTTGTATTTACTGTGCAAACTGTTTTGTCCTATTTTTCTTAGCTGATTGTGTTAATGCAACATTTCATCGAAGTTGACAAGAAAATGTTCTTGAATTTAGATTTAAGGAAAAACTAGATGAGCAAATTCAAAGTGATTCTTTCTATCATTTTTTTAAGTATTTTTAAGTTTTGACCCTAGTGAACGGAGAACAGGCATGCATGAAACATCGGCAGTGAAAGAACCAGACCATGTTTCTTGTTTTCAGTGTTTTTAAATCTCCGCTCCCATTTTATTTTTTTCAAAGGAGAACGAATCAATATCATTTCTTGAAATTTTCACAAAGTTTTCTTTGCCGAGAGAAGAAAGAACACAGTAGTTTTGAAAAATTGACGTTGAGTAGTTTTCCATTTAAAGAATAAAGTATGACAGGAAGTCTACAACGTCAGGAACCAAGACACGTGGTCTGGTAGTTTGACTGTCAATATTCAGCAAAGTGTTGTATGAAAAAAAGTCCTTGAGCGGTACTGCCGTGCTAAGGAAGAACGCTGTATGAACATTCGAGAGTTGCCAAATTTCCTTCATTAAAATGTTTATTTTTGAGGAACTTTATGAATATTTTTCCTTTGAATTTTCAGAAACCTTTGGTGAAATTGTGAACAAAATTATCTGAAAAATTGGAAGGGAAGTAGCCTCAAGTTAACCAGGAAATTTGTATTTTATTAAAGGAAATTTGGCAACGCCTGAAGGTTCATATGACGTTCTTCCTTAGCACGGCAGTGTAACATATAGGTTTTTTTTTATATTTAATCCTCCATGACGTGATTTATTTCTTTTTGCAGATGGGGATTATGCTCACCTAGTTGTGGCTACAGCATTAAATAATGATTTACTTTCCTCTCTTCATGCTATCTACGAAATGTGCGAGTTTCAAGACTACCTAACCAGCAAAGCTGAGTATCATCAAATTTGTGAGGCAAATAGTCAGGGTCAATGTTGTCCCATTTGGTCTGTGCCTAATTACTTAGCAATGTTGTACAATCGTACCTCATGCTATAATATAACCGTAAGTATTACCGCTATTCATGGGAGGGTTAAGTTAATAAACTTGTAACTGTTGTGAAAAGTTGTACAGAGGATGTCCTAGAAGTCTTGTTACTAACTTTTGACTAAACCGACAATTTATACCCAGAAAATTTTGAGTAATACAAATTTTAAGATCATTCTTGTAGCTTTGGAATCCAACCCCATTGAACTGAACATTAAGAGTTTGCTGCTTTACAGCAATTTCCTGGCAATGAGTTTGCATACTCCATTGAAGCCTTTTCGACTTTTTTAAGACCAAGAAAACATGGACTTTCTCAACTAAAAAGCTTTAAGAAAGTAGAAGAGTACACTCTATCCAAGGAAAAATAGAGAGTATACACAGTATCAATCTAAGCAATCGACAACAATAAATAACTGTCCATAGGATAGTATTGTCATGGAAACCTTAAAATACATTGTTTCATTTTTCTGCAGCATCAAAGTTGTTGGGTTTTCAAACTATTGGCTGTGTTTCACTCAACAAGTAGTGAGTCAAAAAGAAGAAAAAAACATAGCTGGGCATTTTTGCACATTGTTTGGAAGGACAGAATTTTGACAAATTTCAGGAAATAAAGAATTTTGCTCAAAATTTTTCTCAAAGCAGTCAAGTGGAAAGATTTTAAGAATAAATTGTGAGAAAACTGCCTCAGTGCCTTCCTTTATAAAAGAAAAATGTGAGCTTATACAAAGAGACTGATAACAAACACAAGAATTGCAGTACGTATGATTACTCTTTTTTTTAAGAATACCTACTCTCATCAACAGAGCACACTAAAATGTAATTAAAACCTTGCAACATAGAAATAACTTAATTGTAGAATTTAAATTAATTGTAATCATAAGAGTCATAGAAAATGTCTTAATAAGGGAGCATTTAAATTTATAGTAGCCATGGCTGTTTTGAATTGTGCTGCATCTTTAAGTGTGTACTGTTGAATTTCCTCATCATTGGCCACTGATTTCTGATTTCAGTTACAAGATATATACGATTTTGTAGATTTGTTGGAGAAATGTGCTCCGCATTATTATAAGTTGGAATTATCTCCTAATATTGAATCCTCCAACGTTCCTCCTGAGTGTTCAAAACACAATGCAGCGTACACAATTCTTCATTACCTCGTGGATACAGATTTTCTTCCAGCCAAAGTAAGTTTCCTTTCACCCACCCTTACAAAAATATCACCTTTTTTTTCTTTTTTTTTGCAAAATGAGAGTTTTACTGTTTTTGTACTGTAATAACAGTCGTGGACTCTTTCATTGGTGATTATTGTTTTTTTTCAAAGGTCTCTACTAAAATTTCATTCCAAGTATTCCAAGTATCATCATTAGTTTTTGGTTGTATTTTGATTTGTATGTTTTTCAAGTTTTTAGCAGGTTGACTTTACCACTGCGCTGGGTAAAAACGCTGTGTGAGCCTCCAGGCATTGCCATATTTCCTTGGATAAAATACGAATTTACAGGGAATTTTTCTTCTGATCTTTCAAAAAGTTTTATTTTCAATTCAATCTAAAATATCAGCAAATGTCAATTAAAAATATTCATTACTTTTCTCAAAAATAAATATTTTATGAAGGAAATTTGGCAACATCCAAATGCTCATATGGCGTTTTCCTTCGCATGCTCGTATAAGCAACTTTAGTTCTCTTTTTCTGAGATTTTTGCATTTAGTCAGTATTTTTATATCTTTGGCTCCTCTTCCTGTTAAATTTTGTCATCTGTTTGCCGAGTATATCTTAGTTTCCTTATTCAGTAGATGGTAAAAAAAAACTAAATCTAAATTATGTTTTGTGGGAGCCACCTTGTCTCTTAAGAGTTTTACAAAAAATGAAATTTTCCCTATTTGTAAACTGTTGTGGAAGAAACGCACCGTTTGATAATATTTTTTTTCTGTTTTCCTTTCCTTTCTTTCGGAGGCAAGTTTCATATCGGCTTGCACTATTTTGCGTGAAAATTGGAAAAATTGGTACTTCGGCTCCCTGTGTTCCTTAAATTTTAGATCTCACAGTTGTAAACGTCTTACATAGGTGCTTCTCCTTAATTGATTTTGCTTTAATAATTTCCTTATTTCATTTTTAGCAAAGAAGTGGTGAGCTGAAAAGTACGATGATGTTTTTGCCGATTGCTCGGAGTTCCTCCTCTATTCCATTTTATGAAAGCATTGACACAAATGACTTAAAACTAAGCTCAATAAAATTAGCAGCAGTTGATTTTGGTAATCTTATTCTCCTACTCTATTTTCCTATCAATCTTATTTTGTAAATCACATAAAATTAAAATTTTCTCTAGTAATGTTGATGTGAACCGCAATAATTTGTGAAAAGCTGGAGAGCAAGGAGGTCATTCCAGGCAAATTTTTGCTTCATTTTTCAGGTTGAATGTACGTAGGTATCTGAGTAAAACCTACTCTGTGATTTGCTATTATGCTATTATGTAGTTCTTGAATCTTGGGTAAATATTGACTTTAGCTAGTTTACTATTTTTATTGCCCTCTGCCTAATGCATCTATGTGTTTAGATTATTAACTAGTTCATAGTGCTACCAAGTTGAAAATGATTTGTAGTTTTTGAACAAAAAAGGGGAAACTCTTTATAATGGTGTGCCTCATAATGTCTTTCTCTGTTTGAAGTTATCAACATACTTTTTTTTTTTACCACCAATAATCACTCACGGCAAAGAAAAAGTTTTTGAAATCCTGATAATTAAGATGTTGTAATGAAGTATAAAACATAGAGTCATGAGCTCCAATTAAGTTATTGTAAAGGACAGAGTGCCAATAACATTGGCGAATATATTTTCTTCATTATATCAGTTTTACCTACATAGGTACAGCATGATCAGATAATGCTCAGAGTAATTCCGTGAGATGACTAAAGTTGCCACTTTTGAAATTCTCAAAACTTTGGTCTTGTTTCTGTCTTCGTGAATATTGTGATACCAATATTCACCAATAGTAAACCAGTCTGACATGAAAAGTTTTGTGGACTGCAGCGACTCGCCGAAGCCTGCATGTCCAACTAATTCTGGCCAGCGGTGAAAACTTTTCGGGTGAATTTTCCATATGGAACCTGCTGTAAATTAAAATCTTGGCATCCAATTTTCAGGTATCTCTGAACCAACAATTTTTCTATTCAATTTGCTTGATTCATGTGGTTCAAAGTACCTATATATTTTTAGATTCTGACGAAACAATATTTTGTTTGCTTTCCTCATCGTTTAAATGTGTGACAGATTAGATGAACTTTCCTCGTTTTCATCATTTTTAGGATTGAAGAATTTGCTCTTTGACAAGTATTTGGTACGTGATCTTTATCTGGTGGCTGCAGGCTCTATTTTCATCCTACTATGCATCCTGGTCTACACACGGTCTATTTTCATCACGGTTATGACCATCTTGGCTGTGATCTTCTCGTTGGCAATAGCGTATTGTTTCTACAGTCTTGTTTTAGGCTTGAAATTCTTCCCATTTATGAATGTTCTAGCAGCAATCGTTGCCATAGGTGAGCATGTAACTATAATTAATTTTTCAAAAGCTATCATTGATGATTTTTTTATTCCGACGATTATGTATCTGTTTATTTTCAACAAATCATGCAAAATGGATTGTATTACGTCCACTGTGCAAAGTGGCCATGAATAATAATAGTTCGTAGCTGACAAAAGTGTTCATTTATGTACTTTTTGTCATTTCATAAGCACCGTCCAGGGATGTTCAAAACAAGAGGTAGATACGTTATGCTTCTTTAAAAATCTGTTGCAATAGGGAAAGAATGACTTACCCTCAGAATTCTACTGTAGCACTACTTAGTTGTGTCATAGTTCTGAGAGTCTTTTTTACTTTGCAAGATTTTTCATCAATACACATTATACTACTATATCATGAAAGTTAAATTCCATTATAACCCTTGGACTTTTTGACGGGCTATAAATTAATACTGTAGGTCAAGGGTCTGGGAAAACGGAGGGATCAACTATGATTGCTGGACATTCACAGAAAGATATTTCAAAATCAGGTTCCAAAAATTTTGGGATCTATCCGTGTATCTCTATCGTAATCTAGGTTCCGAAAATTTTGGGGTCTATGCGTGTATCTCTATCGTAATCTAGGTATGTGCGTTTCTATCCTGGTCTCAAATCTCGCACTTTCAGATCTTTAATTGAGGAAATGAAAAATTCTCAATTCCTATAAAAGTCTCATTTCCAAATTTGGCAATTTTTTTTTCAGGAATTGGGTCAGATGATGCTTTCATTCTTTGCAAAGTTTGGAAAACGTTCAAAAAGGAAAAACCTCACGATATCATTTCCTTAACTCATAACATACTTCGACATTGTGCTCTTGCATTATTTGTCACAACCATCACAACTTGCGCTGCTTTTTTCTCATCTTTCATCACAAATATTACATCTATTAAATGTTTCAGGTAGTTACCTTTAATTTTTAGTAATCTTTATTTCAGTATGAAATTTTAAGTAATTTTTTTTGTTAACAAACTAACATCTTTTTTTCCAATGAGATGTTCATCAATGGAGCAACAGTAAACAGCAAGATGACAGTTTCTTCGTTCGAGATGTAAAAGTTTGTGAAGATGGTTGACTGTTGCCCTCCATCAATTTTTAAAAAAAAAAATTATCACCTTTCAAAATCACTTCACTGTCAAGATTTGTCTCATGTAGACTGCCATCCTAGTTTTGCAAAATCGGGCATTTACTGCACCTCTGCTATTTTATTGACAAACATTTTTACAATTTCATCTCTTTTCCTTGTTTAATTTCTATTAATTTTTCTGGTGTTCTCAAATTACAGTATCTTTGCTGGTGTGTCAGTGGCAGCCAACTTTATCCTGATGCTCACCTGGTTGCCTGCTTGCATTGTGATCGTCGAAAGATGGTTTCCATCATCTCATACTTATCGTTCCCCAATGAGCAGTCTGACCTTGCTCAATGTAGAGTTGATTAATATCGGATCCAGTTTAGCCAGATTTTTAGTTATGTTGGTCGTGAAGTTCAAGTACCTTTTTGTCCTCATATTTGGGTGCTTGGGAGCAGCTAGCATCGTTGTTGTTTTTTACTACCCAAAGCTGAGGCTGCCAGATACAGCAGAATTTCAGCTCTTCCGAGCAGAGCATCCGTTTGAACAGTATGACCTTGTATACCGAGAGAAGTTTTGGTTCATGCGTCTTTCAAAGGTAAATAATAATCCTTCAATAATATGTACGTCAGATGAACTTTCCGAATGATGAGATATCAATAAGGATCAAAATCAGCCCCCTCCTATAATCGCAGGATTTGTCAGTATTTTGATGTTAGTATGTAATGTATATTTTTTTAAATATCTGGGTCATGATGACACTCACATTTTTTGCCCTCTAAATGGGGGCCCAAAACTTGAGTTCTAAGGTTAAAAGCAGCAAAAATGTCTGTAATTTCAGTGATTCACTGCAGATTTCAAGCTGGGCCGAAAGGTCATACAAAATGCAGTGCTTCCGATGTTCTGTTGGAGACCAGTTGAGTTGTCAAAGTATGAAAAGATGGTTAACTGTCCCCTTCTGTGAATACTCGTCCAAGGATGAAAAAAATGAGCCTCTCACAAACCTAAATCTGTTAATTGTTACATATTGTTCATCTTACCGACTTGTAAACGGAATTGATGATTTTTTTAAAGACTCGAGTGCTCTTTTTAAAATTGGATGTCCTAAATTTTTTTTTTATACTTAAATTTGTTTGTTTCAGCTCATCAATATTCTATTAATGATTTTTGCTCATTTGAACATAAAAATTGATAGTAAACTTTATGGATTTTTTTCTTTCAAGGGTGATGCATGGGACAATCCAGCGGTCAATAAAATGCCTTTGCAATTTGTATGGGGTGTTCTGCCCATCGACACCGGTGACTATCTCGATCCATTATCACGAGGAAAAGTACATTTTGATCCAAGTTTTGACATGTCTGATCCTGAGTCTCAAGCTTGGTTGCGTCGTTTCTGTGCCCAACTCCGAAATCAAACTTTCTACGCCCCGACACTTGATCTTTTGCTCTCCAATTGCTTCATCGAAAGTTTTATTGAATGGATGAAACAGCGTTGTATTGATCGTGTCACCCAAATAAGCAGAGCCCCTTGTTGCGAATCGGAACATTTTCCATTTTCTAAAAAAGTTTTTAGTATTTGCATTAAGAGGGCTGTGGAAAGCCTGCATCGAACCCCTAGAGAGTACTTTGGGTCTGCTCTGGCTGGGCCGAAATTTTCAAAAAAAGGGAAGAACCACATAAGAGCGGTCGTCGTTGAGTATCAAAGCAATGTCACGCATTCGACTTCCTTTGTCAAGATGCACCAGTTTTATACTGAGGTAAGGTTCATCAGTTTCTTCTAGTTTGCTTCCACAATCATGTTTTATAATTATTATCAGAGTTCATGTTCAGTTCCACATTTAGTATCACATGAGGTGTTTCAAAAATCCTGAACTTAAATGAAAATGCAAATAGATATTGTACAAGAGATCAAGGAAGAGAAGTGATATTGTACAATTTGTGTATCTTTACTTAGCAAGAACAATGAGACATGATTAAAAAATTATATCACACTATGTGGACCTCCCGTATTTTTGTTGAGAAATACAGTTGCAAACCCTAAGGAAAGAATCAAATTCATGTAATGTTCTACATTGAAACTCTTATGACAATTTAAATTACACTTTTATTTATCATCATGTATTATTCTATTAAACAAATATTAATTTCTTTCTCTTCAAACCTTAAAATTTGTATCCAAATGTAATGTTTTTTAATGTTTAAAAGCTTCCTATTATCTTTCAGGTTGAAGCCTGGACTAAGAAAATCATGAGTGAGGCCCCACGTGGTATGCGTAATGGTTGGTTCATCAGTGATCTGCAATTCTACAATCTGCAACTAACCCTTGCCGAAGACACTGTTTTATCAATAGCTGTATCAATGCTGGTAGCTTTTGTCGTACTCCTTGGAGTTACCCTGAACATCATACTTAGTTTTCTAGCCATCATTACTGTCACTTTAATCATAACAGTAACGGTTGCCATCCTCGTACTTTTAGGCTGGCAACTCAACGTTTTAGAGTCAGTTGCAATGAATGTTGCCATAGGTCTAGCTGTAGACTTCAGTCTCCATTATGCTGTCAACTACAGGCTATGTCCATCAAACAATTGCAGGATTTCTTGCGTTGTGTACTCGTTGTCTATGATGGCAGGGCCTACAGTAATGGCGGCTTTAACATCTGGTGCTGCTGGAGCGTTCATGCTGCCATCAGACGTTTTACCCTACCGACAAATAGGTATTTTTCTCATTGTTGTGATGACAATCAGTTGGCTTTACTCAACCTTCTTCCTCATGCCGTTGCTATGCATCATGGGGCCAGAGAACGACTTCGGACAGTTCTCATATCCGAATATAAAATTGTGGCTGAGTTCTCTCAAATCTCATGATGGCTCTAAGTGCAGAAGCGTGAGTAGCTCAGTTTTTGCCAACATGCTGTCTGATTCACCATTCTCAGTTTCAAGTGTAGCCGGTAGCAACCAGAACTCTTGCTGTGAGACTCATGAACTCGACTCCCTCCAGTATTCAAATTGCAACAAGGGTAAAAAATCCCAAAACAAAACGAAGCATAGAGGAACCACCCTTGCTGATCAATCTCCATCAGCTGTAAGCTCGACAACCATTATTCATGATGACGATTCAAACAGTATTGTATGTTAAGAATTTATCTGTGTTGTGCTAGCCACAATACTGAGCATAACAAAAAACTGCTAACTGGCCCCGCAGAGTTGAGGTGTAAAGTGAAACCTTCCTTTTTCAGGTCCAAGATCGAGTACTTTAGTTTTTACCCTTTGAACTCTTACATGCCTAGGTGAAACAAAAATGTCTCTGTGTTATAATTCTAATGGTCTCATAAAAGTTATCACCAAATTCAACCGCTTAGAGTATAGTATATATTGACTTGAAAAGGCACCATTTTGAGCTTTATTTTATGAGCTTTGGAACGTCAGTACTTATTTTATTTTTTTAATTATAGGTGTAAACTCTGTGTTGATGAACAGAAAACATAATACTCGTATTGATCGTTGGTGTTTTACATGATGTTTTATTCTTTCACACTTAGCTTAGAGGCAGGTACATGTGTACCTAAGTATTAGCTTTCAGGAGTTTTACTGAAGTCCTGTTTTCAGTTGCTCCCTGCTTACCACATATTGATTCCTTTGTATGTACTTAAATATTTTCACAAACAGTCTGAATTGATGCTCACTAATTTAGTTGGACATAGGTTTTGTGTCCTATTTTTTAAGTTCTGACTTGCTCAATTTTATCCATTCCTGCGAATTAGGTAGAACGAGTTCCTGCTGTGAGCAGCACTAGTTCTAATTTGCCTAATTGTGCTAATGATTTTCGGTAGGTGAGTGTAGCTTAAGCTACACTTTATCTCAGGTGATCAGAATCGTATTTGAATACATTTTATTCATCTAAGTATGATGTATAAGTAGCTCTTTGATTTGATCAAAATGTGTAATTTTTTGCCATATTTTAATTGTAAATGAATGAAAGTAGACTTTTAAAGTGTAACATAACCTCTAAAGGTCAAAAGTTTGGAGAGTTGTGATAGCTCATGAAAAAAGAAAGAAAAAAAATTGATACAAACTGTTCTTCAGGGAGTTTCTATGGTAGTTACCAGTGCAAATAAGTTCTCCTTTGTTTTTGAAAGATGAATCGGGCACACTTGAGTTGGAGTGCAGGGTGGAATGCAAGGATTCAGATGCCAATACTAAGTCCCTTATTCCTGCTCCAAAAGTCAACAATGCCTTGCTCCATGCCGAGCCTCGGGAAATTTTGAGTCTCAAATGAGCTCTTGGATTATACTCTAAAAGTGTGAGTAAGACATGGTTGTGTGTCCTTGCAGTACAGCATAATTGAATATATTTTCATTGTGTGCCAGTCCTTTTACTGTGTGAGATCCCTCTGTGCATTATTTTCTCATTTACCTATCATTGATTGATTCTCAATATTTGATTTAAATTTTGATGGTTTAAGTCAACAATCTTATAACTCGGTTTGCGACGTCACAGACCTCCTGTCATACTTTATTTTTTAAATGGAAAACTGCTCAATGGCAATTCTTCAAAACTGCTGTGATTTTTCTTCTCTGTGCGAAAAAAATTTTACAAAAACTTCAAGGAATGGTGTCAATTTGTTCTCCTTTTAAAAAATAACTTAGAGGCGGAGATTTTCAGACACCCCAAACGAGATATGTGATTGCAGACTTACGCTGTCGATTTATGGAGGGTTTCATATTCGATTTCCAGAGATTTTGTCCCATGAACACTAGCTCACACGGTGATTTTGTCTCAACGAAAATTTTTCAAACAGAATTTTTTCCGAATGATTTAACCAAGTACAGTTAACCTACACTGGATTTACAAAAATAATCGAGCAACATAGTTCCTTTGTCAAGAAAACATACCAGTTTATATTCTTATTGCTGGCTTGTTCAACTTGTATGTTTTACTTTCTCACAAAGATGGACCAAGCTAATGCAAGCAACAAAAGCTCTCTCAAGAATCCCCTTTTCGTATCCCATGCCCTCTGATTTTTATTCTCTGTTGTGAACTGAAGATCTTATATTTATTTTATACATGTCTCTCATTTTGACTCTCATTTGCAGGTAGCAAAGACAAGTAGGATCGCAGTATTATTTTAAATTTTTTGCAGCTAAGAATATTGGTGCTTATGACTCATTCTGTATAGTATTATAATTTTTTTGTACATTTCTGTTGACTGTTCGATATTAATCTTAGTTTGTTTTCTGTAAGTAGATAAAATAGAGTTACGTGTATTATTACATTTAGCAAGCTCCAAACTCTATATTTATTTTGCTGTGTCCGTTTGCCCATGATCATGTCTGACAGTCATGGTAGCTATTGACACAATGAGAAAATTACCTTTAACTCCTCATCTCTTTTATTCTTGCAACATGGGAACCATGCTTATTAAAGTATAAGTACCATTTCTAAATGTCTGATAGCTGATAATATAGGTCCTGTAAGCTATTTCCCTGTTGCAAGAATTACTGGTAATTTTTACCTATTATTGTAAATGCTTGTTACATATTGTGCCTTGTGTTGTGCTGAACTAAATTCTGCTACATTATTTTGTCATTCAAAGAATTGAACTTAATTTTTCAAAGTTGTATTGGTCTCAGATGCTCATGGAGAACTCTCATTATGATAAGCAAACATACCAATTTAAATCAATTCTCTCGTACTTTAAGCTTCGCTCTTTTCTTAAGATGATATTTTAGTTACAATGCTGAATTTTGAAACATAAGTATTCTGTCAAACAACAAACTTTGATTAAGTTTTTGACAATCTAATCCTACCAAGACATTAGTCCCATTAATTTCCGAGTTAACTGTACCTTAAAGTTTTTACTTTCATACAAAAATAATTTTCATCGCAGATAATGCCTCGTGGAATATAAAGTGTATTTTGATGCGTATGGAACTCCCATATCAAGTATACATATGGAGCTCAATTTTAAGCATTTTAGTTTTCATCATAGGTGCCAGAGTAGCTTTATCTTTGCACGAGCACTAATAAAATGCATTTAAGTATAGTTGAAGTATTGATAAGAGCTCAGATCAACGATGTTGCGTTTTACATTTTTATAGAAATGAACTTTGACTGCTAACGGTACAAATGTATATAAACTCTATTCAATTTAGCATCAATGAACAAGCATACTCTGACTTAAAACTTCCGTATGTTTTTACTTTTGTAACTTGTAAGTTAGTATTTAATATTTCATCCACAATTATTGAAATTTTGATCTCCAGATATTCTATTTTATGAACCCTTTTAACAGAGCCATTTTTCTGTTTCTTTGATACTTTTTTTTTAATTACAGTCGACAAAGTTATTGGATATTATTTCGTAATTTTGCAATTATACTTACTTCATTGAAAAAATCAGGGAAGAAATGACCAACTTAAAAATTTCACCTTCTTGATATTACTTCTGGAAGTGTCTAGTGAAAACTTGTTTTCATTTTTGTTATTTGATCAAAATACTGAGGCGGTCAACTCTTGCAAAAAGGTATGTTATTCTTCGAGTGGAGGTGTGGGCACTTACTTATAATCACCATCAACTTGTGTCTCAATCCATCGCTCTTTAGGTGGGCCTATGTAGTTAGGTTTGGAAAATTGCCATCAGACATGCTTTATTTGAATGGATTACTTTGAGACAAGTGTTTTTTTTCTCTTTATTTTTAAATCACGAAGAAGTATACTACAATCAATCAGTTTTTGTAAAGTAAAATAAAAAGAAACTATAATTAAGGCTCATCCTGATGCTAACTCAGTAAATTAATGTAAGTACGTCATTGTTCCTTTTTAAAATAAATTTTTTCAAAAATATTCACACTGTTTCATTTTTGTTTTTCATTGTTTTCCCATTGTTGTTGTCAACGATGAAGGCATAAAGAGCGACGCCAAGAATGGTACAATTTGGGCCAGAAGGGATTTTTCTGAAACCGGGCCCAAACGATACCTTATGATACCCTAAAACTCTGGTAAAAATTTTAGCTTGAGTATACGCACGGTTTTGAGAAATGAAGGGGCAAAGTTGCCTAATCGCCATCATTCTGGACAACATTTCTACAGCAAAAAGACGGGAAAAATGGACGAAAAAGTTACACCTTTGATGAATTTCGGCTGTACATGTTCTCATTAGGTTCCCAAGCATTTAACTGTGTTCAGTTTCAAACATTTTGGTCGCACAGTGGTCCAAAATGGGGAGAAATCGTCGACAAATCAGGATTCTTTGTCAAATTTTTAGAAATGGAAGTAAAATTATCGGTCTACTGCAGTTTTCATGGCTAACAATGTTCTCATCGGTCATCAATGCATGAAATTGTGTTCAGCTTCACAAATTTACATCGCACAGTGGTCAAAAATGAGGGAATTAGTGGACAAATTAAGATCCTCTGTCAAACTTCTTAAAAATGAAGTGAAACTGTTGGTCCCCAGTAGACTTTAGATCCTGGAAAAATTCTTTAAATTCTTTTTTTGACTATTTAAATCTTTTTTTAATTTTTTCTCTCCATTTTTACTTCTTTTTTTTAAATTTCTGAAAATTTGCATATTTTATTGAGATAATGCTACAAAGTCTATTCTATAACAACATTCTATAGACAATACGGTCTGACATGTAGTAATAATTAAAAAAATTAAAAACATGAATTTTTCCGGGATCTAAAGTCTACTGGGGACCAACAGTTTCACTTCATTTTTAAGAAGTTTGACAGAGGATCTTAATTTGTCCACTAATTCCCTTATTTTTGACCACTGTGCGATGTAAATTTGTGAAGCTGAACACAATTTCATGCATTGATGACCGATGAGAACATTGTTAGCCATGAAAACTGCAGTAGACCGATAATTTTACTTCCATTTCTAAAAATTTGACAAAGAATCCTGATTTGTCGACGATTTCTCCCCATTTTGGACCACTGTGCGACCAAAATGTTTGAAACTGAACACAGTTAAATGCTTGGGAACCTAATGAGAACATGTACAGCCGAAATTCATCAAAGGTGTAACTTTTTCGTCCATTTTTCCCGTCTTTTTGCTGTAGAAATGTTGTCCAGAATGATGGCGATTAGGCAACTTTGCCCCTTCATTTCTCAAAAACCGTGCGTATACTCAAGCTAAAATTTTTACCAGAGTTTTAGGGTATCATAAGGTATCGTTTGGGCCCGGTTTCAGAAAAATCCCTTCTGGCCCAAATTGTGCCAAAAAACGGTCGTTTTTGGCGTCGCTCTTTACTCTCGGAGATCTGCACTTGCACCAGTCAACGCAGCTGATCAAAAAGTAACCTTGATGTATTTTGTTCTTGTTTCTACTGTGAAAACTTCACTATCAAAATTTTCACAGAAGACAGAATATGATTTTGAAATTAAAAGACAGCTAATGCTGATAAATTTAAATATTTTCCCATTGAAAAGAGAAGTTACTGACAAAAAAAAGATCGTTCTGCCCTACCATAAGGATTTCTCTTAGTCTTATCCCTTTGTTATTCATTCATTCCTTTACTCTGGATTATGTTTTATGTGAGTACGATTCGTTCATTAACTATTTTTTCCCTTTAAATACCAAATAGAACAGCCTTCCTTTCACCTACCAGATACAGACAGAATAAGGGCATCAAAGTAATTAAAATTAGGCAGGTTTTGAAGAGAACAGATATTTTTTCAATGATAAAAATATATTTTAATCATACACATGGAACATGAAATTAAAGGTCTACAAACAAATACAAGACTGTACAGTGAAAACTAAGAGCCACACTCCAACTCTTCAATTACTTCTGATTGCGAATTTGATGGTTTCCAGGGCAAAAATTTTGATAAACATTAAAATGAAAAGAAAAAAACAGTTTTAAGGCTGTGCCACAAAAACGGACAGGTGAGGGGCGTGGTCAGAAACTAGTTTAGGATATTGTTTGAGGGTTTAACGCAGGTACATTGGTTCATCCAAACAACCCAAAGCCATCAAAGTCAATTAATCATGAATGACTGTAATAAACTGGGCTTTCACCTAACTCAGGGTGTCTACTAAAACAGATTGGTCAAAAATAAGTTATTTTACAGTACTTTTTCAGTACATTCTCAAGAAATTCAGTACCTCTTCCAACCGAAAAATTCTGTACTTTTTCAGTACCTTCATTTGACGAACTGAGAAAAATTTCAAAAATTTGAAATTGCGACAAAAATGACAAACATCAAAAAAAATTCTGGACCTTTTTGTGGAATTTCCGCACTTTTTCAGTACTTCTGGACCGCCCTTAAAAAATCAGTACTATTTCTAGACTTGTTGACACCCTGTAACTCCACCCCTTACCTGTCACTTTTCAAGGGGCAACAGTTTTAACAGGTATGCTCATGGTGTTCCCAAACAAGTTTTCCCTCATTTTTTCTTCTTTAAGCTTAAACTTGTATTTGTCACTTCTTTGTAAGAATGAGAGAAACGAATCTCTAAAAATAAATTTGGGCGTTAGAGGTACAAAAATTAGCATCAATGGTTTCATGTTGCATTACAGCGAGGGTTCAGCCAAATCTCTCCGGCTCATAGCAAGTACCTAAGTACTAGTTTCTTTCTAAAAGCGATTTTGTCTGACAAGAAAATCAGAATACTGCAATACTTTGAACTTTAATATGAATGGCATCATACAATTCAAAGTTTACATGTATATGATCATTTTTCAAAGACTATTGGGTTTCTGCCTCACAGAACACTTAGTATGAAAGTCAAATGCAACATACAAAAAGAAAATAAAGAAATGTTCTTATTGCATAGAGTAGGTTTTTTCAAGAACCTTTATACCCGTGAATACAATTACCAAAGTTTATGGTTTCGTGTTATTATTTAATAAAATACAGGCTTTCCTGTAATTCTTTAAAAGACTTACTAGATCTTGTGAAGATGTAAAAAAAAATTAAAAAAATAAATAAAATAAAAAAAAACAGGACGTAAAAAATGTATGAAAAAGTTGGTAAAATCGTAAAAGGGATACTTGCAACTTTTAAGAAAGAATTCATTGCCCAATAAGTTCAAAGACAGCTTCAGAGCAAATTGGTGGACAAACTTAAAAATCTTTACACAGGAAAAACAGGTCGCAAACAAACCAATGAAGCCCTTTTGAAAGAATACTGATGAGCAGGTTGAATATTGAACTTTACTAGGGAGGATGCGTTTTGATTTATGGTATGGTAACATGAGCTTATAAGGCTCTTAGCTTGCAAAATGAGGACAGGAAAAACAATGTGAAGATAACTTTAAAGTAGGCAGGAACAAATGGTAAATTACCTATGAGCTATGAATAGATGTGCAAAAACTGATTCACTCAGCAACAGTTTCTGCGACAAGTTCTGCAACCCCTTCATCAACACCTTCTAGATGTTCACCCTGTTCACTGACACTTGCTGTGGTCACCCTTGTAGGGTCAAGTTTTTCTAAAATAATTTGTAAAATATTACTGTGTTCCACTTGGACCTGTCGAATACTGTCTAGCGATTCTTGCAATGAGGTTACTTTCTGTTCCAAGTTTTGGAATCCTTTTTCAACCGTTTCACTAAAATTGGCGAACCAACCTGGAGGATTAAATTCAAGATCAAAATCATCCTCAAAGTCAATATTACTAATATCATCTCCAACACTGAAATTTTCATCACTATCTTTACTATTTTCTATAGGTTTTGGATCGGTATTGTTTTCTGGATAGTCGTCTAATCCTACAATTACATACTTTTCTGGTTTGGTTTCCTTTTTGATGTGCTTCTGAAGATACGATGGCACATGGGTGTACTTTTTTCGATGTAAGGCTGAGTAACCCAGGTACTTCCTTAGCATCCAAAAGTAATTCCATTTTACTGGTGTTCCATATTTTTTTGCTCGGACTAGGTTTCTTCGGTAAGTTCCCAATAAGTTGCGCCACTTGTCATCACACTCTTTGGCTGTGAATGTTTGATTTGTAGCTTGACTCAGACGTTCTGCCACTATTTCCCAGAGTTGACCGATTTTGTCTCCTTTCTGGTTAAATCGTTTCTCCATCTGGCAACGGATGAAAATCAGCTGCTTTACGGTATCATCTCTCCAGTTTGTAGCTATAAATATAAAAATGAGAAATTAACAAAAAAACAATGCAGACAATTTAGTCGGAGCAATAAGCCATGTATTAACCAATGCATTAAACAAAAACTTAATTAAGCTAACATTAAATTACACATCACTGATTGTAATAAATGTTGATTAAATTTGAGAAATTATGAAATATGCTATTATTTGGGCAGCGTTTAGAACAAGGGAACAGACAGGAACAACAACAGAGGAAACTAAGATTTTCAAAAATATTAGATTAGGGATAGTCTTCATCACAGACATACCGTCTGAGGGCTAAGGAGTGATCGCCGCCTTAACTTTGACCAAAAGAACCATTTTGTGCGTTTGCATTAATTTTTAGTGTTATTTTTATTGGATGCAAAAGGTAAATGTGTCACAGAATAACTTTCTACTTACATGCAGGAGATAACTCGAACGAATCAATATCTACATCCATATTCTCAACAGGCTCTTCCCCACTGAAACAAAATATAATAAAATTTAGCTGGAAAAATTTTGAAAATTACTTGAATCAGTAAAATTTGCCACTAAAAGCATCTTGATCCTTTCAAATCCCATCAGATGTCATAAACCTGGCTGTATGAAATTGTCAATAACTAATGAGTTCACAGGAAGCATTGGTGACAGGAAAAAGATTAGACAACTCTAGGTTTTGGACTAAAACTTTCAGTAAAGAGCTTTTCTTTGGTCAGAAATTATGTGCCATCTAAATGATGAATTTTGGTTTTTTTCTGTGACTTTGAGAGCAAATTTTGAAAATTTAGCTTTCTTTAGTGAGCGCTCTTCCTCAATTTTCTTATGTAAGCACAGCACTTCCTTAATTTCTTCACATGAACTCAGCCAATTTCAAAATTTTGACTTGTTGAATCAGCGAATAGTTTTGACCTTTTTGCAGGAACTCAGGGCACTCCCGGATTTGAGCAAAGTCAAAGCATTTCAAAATTTTGAAAAAAAATTTATTCCCCATGCTGCAATGCGCACACACCTTTACAGCACCTTTCAACATATTAACGAAGCTTCTTTAAAAACTGCTGAGTTATGGAGCTATTTGCACCTCTGACCTTGTTTTTTGAGAAAGTTTTGAGAGTAAAATTTACCTTCCATCGACACCATTCACACTGAGAGAATCAGACTTCCTTTTTATTCTCCATGTTCCAGTTTTGAATAGCTTAACGAGGTATTCTCCAGGCCTTGGTGTGTCTCCAAGTATCTCCTTGGCTTGACTTCCATGAAGTTCATCCATTATGGCGAAGTACTTCCACTTGACAGCTTCGATTCCTTGACTATTCAATTTGGCCAAATTTGACTCATACGTCTGAACCCAATTTCGCCACCTATCATCAATCCTTTTTGCTGTTAGATCAGTCCCAAATTCATCGTTCATTTTATTTGCTATTTCAGCGTAGACTTTGAACTTCATTCTTGGCTCTTTCATTACTTTACTGTACTTGTGCTTCAAGATAAAAAACATCAGGTAAACTTCTGTGGTCCATTCTTTTTTTTCTACAATCAAACAAATAACATGTATGATTAATGTTTGTGAGAATATTATTATGCTAACACTAATAAAAGGCAGCAACATGGTTCTTTATTTGTAAGTGTTAAAATCGATTGAACGACATCCTAAGCATTAATTTATTGATTTTTTTTCTTTTATCCTTGTTGTCCAAATTGTATGACTTCTATTGAATTTTTATGGGGTTTTCATACCTAAACTAAAAATAAATTTTTGGTAAAACCGTCTTAATGAAATAAAATAACTTGCATAATAGATTAAGGCATGCAAATCTTAAACTTTATCTCATCGTGCTCAAAAAATGATCAAAGCAGAATTCTTTGAGCTGTTGCTGATAGATGAGCTGCTTCCTGACTGATTCACATAAAAATACATGGTCAATATGGCAGAATTACAAGTAAATTAAAAGAAATTCTATGAAACATTAGTTCAGAAACTTAAGCATCCACACCTGTTTTGTTCTCATTGGCAGCTGCGAAAGCGGACCCATCATCTTCTGCCTCGGTAATAGCTACCACACTGCAAAAAAAGACAATGTATAAAGTAGAGGAAATAATGCAGACTTCAAAATTTGAGTGGTTTCCCTAAAATGTGATATTCTACATAATTATATTAAAGTGTTTAAAAAAAAGTAATTAAGCTCCTATTCTAACCATTTGCTGGATACTTACATAGCCTCAGATTTTTTTTGTTTAAGGAGACATCTGTAAATGATATAATATGTATATTCCAATTCATTCAGCAAAATTTAACATCACTCTATGGAGCCTACCTACAAATGACATCACTGTCAGTACTGATGAAATTCATAAGTGTATTTTGGTAGGATCTAAAAATTACTTTCAAATCAATCACTGATCAGGAGCTGGAACAAGATCTAGGTGTTCAAAGTAGGCACTAAGCAGAAAAATTGAAAAATTTACCTGTCATTAATATCCATTAAGTTGGACTCATCTAAATCTTCAGATAATAAAGCTCGATCGACTTTTGAGGTGACATCAGCCAGATTAAACTTCAGGTGGGCGACCATATGGCTGAAGTCCAATTTACTATGAGGGTTCAATATTTGATGCATATGATGGAAGAATTCCCATTTCACAGACTGGACCCCATGGATTTTGCACTTGAGCAGATTTTTTCGGTAAGTGTGCACCATGTTTCTCCACTTATCATCGCAACCTATGAGCAAATCAAATATAAGGGACCCAATTTTGTAGAGGAAAATTCCATTCAGAGGCAAAACAAAACAACACTCAAGAGGATAATACATACCTACTGATAACTACCATCATTACTTCACATTATTTATTTCTTTATATTCTTCAACATCAGTTTTACTAGATGTTCAATTGTGAAATGAATAACTGACCAAAATTTGACATTGTTGAAAAAAATTCCGCGGACGGAATCGGCCTCCGGTCCCATGAAATCCGATAAATCGAGGTCTTACTGTAGTTAATGGATAATTCATTGAATATGAGTATGTGGTTGGATCGGTTCCTTACTTGCAAATATCAGTTTCTTGTTCAAGAATGTTGTTGCAAGACAGGCTGGATCGCAAAGAAAGCAAAACACAAAATACCTTTTCCAGTAAAAGATGTGCCTTTGATTTTGTTGATATTGCGAGCAATTATCTCCCAAAGGACAAACTTTTTCTTTCCTGATAAAAACCTCTGGTTGAGTTCACCTCTGAGTGATATTAGAAGATTGATTGTGGATGATGTCCATGCTGATTCTGCAAATAAAATGGAAATAAAAATAAGATAAGAAAATGGGCAATGGTAATCTTATTTCTTCTTCCACACTCAGTGCTGGATATGGAGATTTAAGTACAGGCCAAAATCTGAAGTTAATAAAAAGGGAATACATACTGACTAAAGTTTATTGACAAGATTCGTAGGAAGGAAAGATACCCCCCAATCAAAGAGAATTCGATTTGTTGAACAGGCAAGTTTCCCTAATTTCTTCATTTTTCCATTCTCTGACTTTTTTTGCTCCAATTCCCTGACTCTTCCTGACCTGTAAATAAAACCTTCACTTAGGTTTTTCCCCTTTTAGCTACACTGAATTCCGAAAAATACTAATCGCAAAATTCCCTGACTTTTCCAAGTTGCTGTAAATTTCTTGACTTTCCAACTTTTCTAGACTGCCTGAAACCTTGTTAAACCATCATCATGCATTGCTCAGGAATTTCTGCTCTTAATTTCAATGCAGACTCAAACAACTTAAATAATTAATTTATAATAATACATTTATTATGAATTTATGAACTAATTGTTAATGAACTCTCTAAACTAAAGTTTAGAGGGTTTTAGTTAATATTATAAATACAACTCTAATTCACCTGTTTGAAAATCTAAGTTTTCAAGGTCTAAATCAGTGAGATCAAGATCAGTGGCATCGCGGTCTATTTCTGTCTCGTAATACTGTAAAGCATCTACATCTCCGCCATCCTCATCACTGAAAAATTCGAAATGACACTTGATTAGAAAGAAGTTACAATGGTGAAAGGCAAAGAGAAAACAAAGAGTTGCAATTTTACAGGCAAACTTTGTAATGACCACTGCTTCTCATGGTGTAACAAAAGAAGTTAACTCTAATAGCCTGACTGCTCCTGCTAGTTTTGTACTCCCTATATGAATACATGTGGGTTCCTTTCCAAGGTGAAAACACATGAAAACAGTAAAAATCACACATGCCAGGAGCATCATAAATTAATTCCATAAAATTTAAAACAAATTGATGAGCAATAAGTCCAACTTTTTTACATCTTAGACTGCTGAAAATTCTTAGAAGGAAAGTGTAAAAAAAAGATGCAATAATCATGCACCTTGCATTTTGAAAAATATTTTTTCTTTGAAGATTAAAAAGGATAGGACTTCAAAGGTAAGATACTGATCTTATGCAAAAATTTCTGGGAGTCAACTTAAGGAGTGTCCAACAGAAATGTTTTCTCATTGTCAAGTTATTTTACCGTGCGGCAGTTACGTCACTGCTGTCATGTAAATTAAGAAGTGAGGCATTTCTTCTTGACCTGTGACAGCTTTCAGAAATCATTTGATTCAAACCTTAGATATAGTAAATTTGAAACAAATATCTACTCCCTGCATGATCTTTAATAAGAGTAATAATCAATATAAAATTTGATGACCATTATGAATTGAAACAAGTTTGAAACATAATATGTAAGTATCTCCTTTTGCGACGCTGCTGACTTCCTGTCATACTTTTTTTTTCTTTAGTAAACTAGTGAACATGATTTCTTGAGGACTTCCTAAATTTTTTTCTCTCTTAGATGAATATTTTATATAAATTTCAAGTTAGAATGTTGGCTTGTTCCTCTGCAAAAAAATAAAATAGGAGCAGAGATTTTAACCCATTCGCCTCATAAGACAAGTGTACTCGTCAGCGTGCGCCTATATCTCAGCTGATGAGTAGACTCGTGCCATCTGTCAGTATTGCTACGCTTGAGATGCCATCTATTGGAAAAACGAAAAATACACAACCAAAACAATCGCGTTGCAATGCTGACAGATAGCACGAATCAACTTGTCAACTGAGCTATGTCCCAGGTGCGCGCTGACGAATATACTCGTCAAATGAGACGAATGCGTTAAAACACTGCAACGGAAATACTCGGTTTTGCACTTCGGCCATAGTTATTGAAAAAAGCTTGGATTTGCCTCGGCTTTTGTCAAACAAGGACTCGGAATGTAAGACCTCAGCAATCCTCTGAGCTCACTTAAGTATATCGACAGTGTAAGTCAGCAATCACATGACTCGTTTGCGGTGTCTGAAAATCTCCGCCTCTATGTCATTTTTTTAAAGGAGAACAAATTGACATCATTCCTTGAAGTTTGTGCAGAATTTTCTTCGCACAGAGAAGAAAAATTAAGGCAGTTTTGAAGAATTGCCGTTGAGTAGTTTCCCGTTTAAAAAATAAAGTATGACAGGAAGTCTACGACGTCGCAAACCAAGTTGTGTGATTGCCGATTTACACTGTCGATATATCATTCCTTAGCTACTTGCATTCTAGAAATGGTAATTAGACCTAAAAAAAATACCTCCTCGGTGTTAACCTGATGTTAATCTGGCAACTTACCCTGTGGTTATGGAACAACTAAGCTCCTCTACACCATCTGTGACGGTTGTGGCAAGATCAACAGCCACTACTGGCTCTTCAGGATCAATTGTTTCCAATCGCTCAATGGTTATGAACTCAGTATCAGATGTTATGTTTTGTGATGCTAGTAAATTGGCTTTGGCAACCGCCTCTACATAACTTTTCATAACATCATCTGTAAAAGAAGACCGGTGTGTAAACAAGTGAGTAAACAACAATTCAGCAACATGCATTCACATGCTGTATGATTTTGTTTCTAGGAGGCCAGGTCAGAGATGAAACAAGCAGGAGACATGAGAAATTACCAGGGGAAAAGACTCAAGTCAAAACAGCTGAAAGGATGTTCCAACTTGGGCAAGATGGTGAATGCCTGAGCAGTTCAATAGCATATTTGTTTGTTATCAAAGGTCATGAGGTGTATTGTTTCGCTGATACAAGTAAATGAGGAAGCTATTCGCAAAATAGAGCCATGGAGACAGAGCGGTCCTCCGTGTAAATATTGATCAGAGTATAGGACATGAAGTGTCAGTAGCTTACTTTGGGTAATAGGATAATGCTGTGTGTTTAGGGAGGTTTCAAGGTTACTAGTTACAGCAATGAGTTCTCTTGAAAGCAAGCAGAGTTTATTGACATTGAGATTTCAAGAAATTCCAATTTTTCGCATGACCACTATTTTGATTTTTGATTTCGGCGGTTCAAGTATCTATTCCATCTACCTACACCGGTGATTGATATCATTTTGTGGTTGCGGAGCAGAAGCCATCATCGGCACCATTTTCTTTCATTGATGTCATCACACCAACCGACGCGATGAAAGATGGATATGTTGAAAAAGTTCGCTGTGCTTACCGTCGTCCAGTTTTAGGGCAGTTTTCAAGTCCGTGTTGAAAATCACTTGCACATCATTCACTTTTATTAAAGTTTGACTGGATAAATCTCTGGCTTCCTGCAGAAGTACTGCAGGCTCGGACGACGCCATGACTGCACACACTTCATTCACGAACCGTCAAAGAAAACAAAACGGCGGCCGTCGCTGTCGTCGTCGCGCGTTTATTTTCGTTGCTCCTCCATTTGTAGCAAGATTGCAACCTAATAATGCAAATTTTAAATTTTCCAAATTCGTCTGTCACAAAATTAATCATTAAATATACAATATTAGAACCTGTGAATTTTCAAATCGATCTAGAAAAGAAGAAATGTTATTTCCCAATGATTTTTGACCTGAAATAACGCTGTAATATGATAATAGATTACCAAGTGACAGTGGGTCTCGTTGGTCTTCTGTTTACAAACCTGCTTTTTCCGCCAAATTTGAATTTGCGGACTTTTTCGAAGCTTAATTATCCACGATACTTGTAACTATAAGTAAAAATTCAAATAATCTATTATGAATTCGCAGGCACATCAAACATTCATTCAATGAGTTTTCCTAATTTTTCAACAAATTGTTCAGTGGTTTTTATGATACTTTTGAGAGTGATCATATACATTTTTATAATGATAGGCACCATACCACCCTAATGTAAATGCATGCTTAGAATAAGTACCTATTAGCTAATACTAATAGTTTTCGGGAACATACATACTTTTAAAATGTCACTCATAACTTCTCAAGATAAGGAATTCCTCATTCCTATTTAAGGAATGAAAATCATATCAGAAAAAAATGGTTAATTGGACCTAGGTTGGGTTGATTGTGATTTTTTTGCAGACGGAAAGTTTGAATTTGATATTATTTTATTATGTAGACTACAAATGAGAGGCTTGGAGGACAAGGCACATAGTGAGTTTTTGCTATTTCAAGGAAGACGTATTTGAAGTTCAAAATTACAAGGAGCCTCATGGCAGAAAGGAAGTTTTCTGATGCTTTAAAGTTGGATTTTAGTTGAGAGATTTTCGCAGAATATACTACCTATCAAACTTGTTTTCGTTCAGTTCATATGAATTCCTCAATTTTTTCAAAAACTGCACTTATGCTTGTCCTCTAAGACCCTCAATTGGACAGGCCCGTTAATTCAAGTTCTGGATGATAATTTTGATTAGGCAGTTCGATGATAGCAACCTCTTTGATTAAATGCATAGCTGTTGTTTATGCCCATGTGCATTTCTGCATGACAACTCTTTTCACCACTTTATGTGTTTCATCTAGGAAAAAAGCCATTTTTTTTCAAGATGAATATTTGATACAGGGCAGATGTACTTTTTGAAACTTCTCGGAGGTATCAAACATGAAGGTGTTAAAACATGGATACTAAAAGCATGTGGGAGCTGTAATAGTTTTCTCCGCAAATAAACTATAGTTTCCTACGTTAATGCTTTGAAAGATTGTTTACCTTCTAGTCCATGGTTCACCACATAGATACTTGTTGCAATAAAATTACCAAACAGTAGAAATGGTACCAAACTTACAGAAATTTTTTTTGCAAGGATTAAGGTTCGGAGAATTTTTTGATGGTGAAATGAGAGAGTTAAAGTGATTTTTATGCAGTTGCACTGTTCGGGGAAATTTCAAAAAAATGAGCTATTATAAATCAAATTCAGTTTATTCATTGAAATTTGAAAACATTTTTAGAAATGTAGATTTAACAAAACAGAGAGAACATGATACCAGCTAATGAAAGAAAAAAACCTGAGGTTTTTAAACAAGCCATTTGATAGCACAAAAAATAAAGCTTACAGCTACAAAGAACAACAATATTCTTTAACAATCATAAATTACAAATGAGAATTCTAATGTAATTTTCACTTACAGCTATTGCCACTGAGGAAATTGAAATTGTACAGTTGGATTTTTCTTTCTTGCGTGGTCTGTTAGGATTTTAGTCATTATTTTTAAAACAGTAGAATACGAGAATTTAGAGAATCCCCTCGCCCAATATTTGATCTCATATTTGCTCTTAACGTAATGTAGTGTAGGGATATAGATTCAACTAGGAAAAAATAAGACCTTTCTTTAAAGTGAGAATGCGATAAATCCAACAGAACAAGTAACTTCTCTTCCACGAGCATATTATCCAAGAACAACCAACTAATCCATTAATTCGAATTCTGGATGATAATTTTGATTAAGCAGTTCGATGACAGCTACCTGTTTGAGTAGATGCATAGCTATTTAAAACGACATTATACAGCTATGCAAAGAAAAAAAAATTGAATGAAAGGAACAACTCCACCCTCAGAGCATAACATCAAAAACATGGGATAATCCGAAGGAAAACTTTATGCATGGATCTGGTAAAAATTATGTTTCCATGTGCTCAAGCAGGACCGACTTTACATTAAACAATCCAGTTTTTTACACTGCATTCTGAGTCAATAATGCTTGTAAAATCGTACCTGATATATATAGCTCCATAGCAGAAAATGGTGAAATAGCAGTTGAAAGCATTGAAATTCTCCATCTATTAGTACATTGCATACAGCGGCAAAAACATGATCTTCTGAATTAAATTTTATGAAAGAAGGAGAAAAATTAGTACAATTATTGTGGTTTTTTCTTGAGCCAAAATGGTTCATGAGATAGGTTTTGATACAAACAAATTATTTAAGTGAAAAAATGAGAATTCTAATTAATTAAAGGATAAAGATGTACAACCTTGGATGAGAGAAACTTACACATTGACGGATCTATAGGGAGATTGACTAAAGGAGAGGGCAAAGGTACCATTTTTTTTTTTATTATTAAATGCAACTATAAATGAAAATAATTGATACATTAAGCAAATCACCAGGAACTTAATTGAGGAATGATCTCAATTTACGGCCGAATATATTCAAGGCATTCTTCGGTGAAAGGGAATAAAGTCTTGGAGATGCTCCTAAATTTGTGCAATTTTACATGAAGTTTGTGATGAGAAAAATTCACAAACAAAAAATAACAAAAAATTTGTTATGATCATTTTTGCAGGAAAACGGGTAGAGATGCAAATCATAGTCTTCAGGAAAAATGCATAAAGTCACGCAATCTTAGCAACATTACTCCAGGCCTTTATGCTCTTTCACAGAAAAAGGGCTTATTTTCTCGGAAGTAGTAAAAAACTGAAAATAAAGTGGCATGTGCTGGACATTCAAAATTGAGTTAATGTCCTAATTTATGGGGGGAAAGTATAAATAACATGTATGTAATTATAATTTTCAAAAAATCGGAGATAAAAATGGCTAAAAATATTTGCCAGCATCCAAACTGTTGAATTCTTGTGCTGAAGAGAAAAAGTTCAAAGTAAACTAATGGAAAGAATAATTTAGTTTTTTTCATTATGGTTGTGAAATAGTTGAGTATCACAGCTGTAGAAAGACTGTGAAAACAAACTTTATTTTGTGGGTATAAGATAAACTATGCAATTGGGGTGAATGATACTTCTGTTTTATTTGTTATAGGACTTTGACGAAGAACTTGAGTTCCTTGCTTTTACACTTCATTATTCATTCAGCAAAAAATTAAAAATGTATGCATACTTGGACTCCTAAGACAGCTCTCTATTAGTATTATTATAAAGCCAAAACGGGAGCCTAATAGCCACTGCATCATATAATCAATGACCGCAAATTTTCATGAAATTACTGCCTTCTTACCTGAAAACAATTCAGCTTCATCAATCGATGAACTTACACAACTAGATTGGAATGTCTACAAAAATATTTTCACATTTCTTAACTTTTCTAAAAACTCATTCACATAATATTTTCATACCAAAATTCTCTTAACAAGAGAACATTTGGTAAAAGACGTGAGTAAGAAATTTGCACTGTTTTTTATCATTTCAGTATTTTACCTGATTAATAAGTTAACGAAATACAAAGTTAATAATTGATTTGGGAGGAAAGATAATACATGGTACTAGTGGAGCCTTAACAAAAGTCTACAGGAAAACATGACGGTATCCAAAGTGAATCAAGGGGTCAGTTGTTGAATTTACATTTGTAAACATGGAGCGACTTGGATTGATACACCCAATTTACCAAGTTTTCGGATCATTAAGATCAGTAGACCTGGTAAATATCATACACTCATAAAGATGAAATAGTTGAATTGCTAGTTTGTCTCAATAAGGTGTCAGAGTCATCTAACAACTGCAGGACAAGCAATATACATACACTAAGAGATATTAAACTATCTCACAAAATTAAAATTTCCACCACGCAATTTTTAGACATAAACTTTGTACAACACAAGAATAAAGTTACGCTATCGATATTGAAGAAACCAGTACAAATAGAAAAAAAGCTTGAGAAAGTATCTGAGCTTGGCTAAAATTAGCTGAAAACATTGAAATTGACAGGAAAGCATTTGTATTTCTTTTCATACAAGATCACTGTATAAGTCTGCCAACATTAATATTCTAGAAGCAGAAGAAAAATCAAATCATACCAACTTCCTGGCTTTAAAACACATGAACATTAAATGATTTTTGTTTTGAAAAAAATTACCATAAAGAGAGTACAGAGGAGCCTCAATAAATTTGTATGAACCAAAGGGAAAGAAATCAAACAAAAAGGAATTTTCGGCAACAATAAATTAGGTAACAGTTCATTTTCTTTCAAAAACTATCCATGACTGAATGAATAGAATTCCATCATCTTTCTTTTGACAAGATGTATGCAAATGTTTTTTTAAAAAAAGGGAGAGAAAATAGTAATACGGGAGACAATTTCAGCAGGATTGTTTGAAATTAAAAAGATAGCCTAACCTTAAACTTCTGAAATTATTTCTACACTGAGATGGTACGAATTTGACTACTTCAGTAAAATCAACAATATCTGTGGCAGGCTGAATACAAAAGATCCATATTTAGTTCCACTTCCAGTATCATAGAGAATCTGTTGCAGCCCCACACTAATATAGGGTTAACCTAATGATGCTTACAGAACATTAGGGGAACCACTTTTTGTGCAAATTTATCACAGATTCAAAAATGTTTAGTATTGAGTAAGTATGTTATTTCGGATACTTTTTTTTTCTTCTCTTTTATGGCAGTAAGTAAAGAAAGAAAAATCTGCAGATGATTTTGCCACAGGTCTTCACTAAGCTAACAATAAGTATCATTGATTCAAGCATGAAACAAGTTAAATGCTTCGAAATTCAAAGAATTTTTTGAGACTTTATTGTCAAAATCGAAAAAAAAAATCCATTAAGCTTTTTTAAGATAACAAGTCAACTTTGAATTTCTCCCATGGAAATGAAACACTACTAAGCCATTGAGGCCCAGGGATTGTAGCGTTCTTTATTAATCCTTGAAATATCGGGCAAACAAAAATTCTTAACTCCAATCCACAAAAAGGGGATAGAAAAAAAAGGAAGAAAGAGCAGAAATTGCATATGTAATTCCTTTTAAAGCGCACACCTACTTTTCTTAAAACAATTTTCATTCCCAGGGAAAAAATTCTGAAATTTCCTATTATGTTTGTATGTAAATACATTTTCATTATGAGAAGCATGAAAAAGCTTGGTCATATTTTTTCACCGGGGTTGATGCATGAGATGCGATTGATTTCATTTGAAATTTCTTTCTCAAAAAGGTAAGATGAGACCGAGTTGTGATTCATACATTTTTTAAGATGTTCTCAGATTGAAACAGATTTTCTTACCTTTGATCTTCAAATTTTGGAGAATAATTTAAACAACAGTCAAACCTACGATGCATTGAGAGCTGGCCCAATACGCTTATGCTGAATTGTGCTCCAAGGGTGGACGCCCCGAATTTTTGGTTCCAAATTGACTACATAGATATCTCCGGCCAGATCATCACTTCCTGTTTCAGCATCTGATTTAGCAATTTTTGCTGCCTTATCTACTTCAGACTTCACATCACCATCCACTTTCTGGAATATAAAATTAAAACGTGATTAATGAATGAAAAATAAAGTATACCTAGTTTGAGAAGATTTTAGAAAATCTCACATGATCTTAATACTGACCTGCCTATTGGTTCGACTTCAATAATAGTCTAAGACTGTAAGTTTGGGAAACCTGTTTGTAAAGTGGGATAGAATCTCTACAAAAATAAAAAAAAGGTCTTAGGAGCCTCCCTACATAATTGGCATTTTCCCAGTACGGTAATCTCATTTAAAATAATTTTCGAGATATTTTAGCTACAGTAAGACCTCCATTTATCGGATTTTGCGGGACCGGTGGCCGAATCCATTAAATTGCAGAATCCACTAAATCGCGCTAGTCGGTCCTGCTGAAGGGACCAGAGGATCGATCCGTTAAATCGCGGAATCCGTTAAATTGCGATCCGATAATTCGAGGTCTTACTGTAAATTATTGATTTTTTGTCAAAGAGCCCGAAACATTCAAAGAGAGCCTTAAGGCCCTGCCAATCAATATCAAAAGCTCAGATAAAAAAAAAAAAAAAAAAAAAAAAAAAAAAACTGCCAATCATATTTATAAAAAGTTATTGATTTGGTTCTTTTCTATTGTTTATTTTATTTGAATGTTCAGGTCATCAATGAGGATCTCAAAAACTTGGCTTCAATTTTTACTTTATGTCAGAAGCTAATCATAGGCCTCAGCGACAGAGGTGGAAAAAAAATAAAGCAACTTTGAAAATTACAACAAGAACACTTACTGAGAGGTCTCTTGGAGATGATTTACTAGAATTTTTACACCCTGAATAAATCAACATGGCCGGGCAAACATTAAACATGTCTGATGGGAATTACATCACACACTAAACACTAGATGGTGATTGCAACTCTTGAAATTCAACATTTAATACAGTAAGCGCTTGCTAATTTGATACTGAAAGGACCAAGTATTTTTCTTTGAGAATTGAAGGTTCATCAATTTGAGAGATTTTGAATAATTAGGAACAGTTTCCAGAAAAGTTTAAAAGAAAGATATTTCTAAATGAGCGCTATGATTTAGAGTAGGGTTGTCAATTGCAATATAATTTGAAACAGCACGCCTCTTATACGGATGTGCTAAGCTTTCTATGATTGTGATCGAATCATGTCGTAAAAAAGGTATATTATTAAATTTAGATACTACAGCAAAATAAGTACTGACCTTAAGTTCATCTGGAGTGACTAGACCTGCATTAATAATTTTCTCTTTAAATGAGGTGATTGGGTCTCTAGTTTGCCTGACTTCTTGAATTTCATCACGAGTACGATAACTTGTGCCAGGATCTGACATGGAATGTCCAGAGTATCGATAAGTTGCTGTTTCTAGCACGATGGGCCCTTTTCCGGCTTTGCAATGCTCAATTGCAAATTCCGCAGCTGATTTCACTGCTAAAACGTCCATACCATCGACCTAAAGAAAAAGCAACAAATTAGAGACTTAGATAAAATGAAAATAGGTTGAGTTAAACACTTACCTTCTATTGAAGTGCATTGTAATACGATTATTGCTTATTGAGGCCTAAAAAGTAATACTACCTAACTGAAAAATTTGGCAAAAATGGGTTGACGATTTTGATGCATTTTATAGTATAAAATGGGCAAGCTCATGTTTATCGTTATTTGCACTTCTGCATAGTGGAGCTGTAATAACCCTGTGATATGTGAAAAAATTACAAATCTAACTCCAAAATAACAAAAATGGCAGTTTCCCATTGTCCTGTAAAATCGTCAGTTTTCCAGCAGTATCTTCGCTAACATTATCTTGATCAGATTTTCAAAATATGACTTCAAATGAATTTTCCAGAATTCAACTCTTTTTATTTATTTATTGAGACTCAGCTGGAATAACAGTATATTGGCAGTTTTTACGCCGATCAGAAAAATTGAAAATTATGATCAAGAAGTATCTCATGAGGATATCGAGGTGCTGGAATGGGGCTGCTGGAAAATCTGGTTACAGATGCAAGACCTGCATGTAGAAGTAAAAACTTGCCATAACACATTATAACTGTTTTGTTGAAGAAACATTTCGAAAATATCTTTTCATGTCCTGATGCTACCAGGGACCTATCAAATTAAATAAACGAGAGTTCCAGACGACTGGTGGAAATTATCAGGAGAAGTATAATATTTGATGATAAGATATGTAGTTGGTTAGAAGGATCATATAGCTACCCAAATTCCTGGAATGTAGTCTCCTCTAGTGTAATACTGAGCAGATGCAGCAGCTCTTTCAGCTGAGGTCCCCATTCCGTAACCATTGTTTTCACAAACAAAAATAGCGGGAATATCCCATAGTTTGGACATATTGTACGCTTCAAAAACTTGTCCCTGGTTTGCTGCCCCATCACCATAGAGTGTGAAGCAAACTCCATCATTGCCTTTGTATTTTGCTGCTAACGCAATACCTGCGCCCAAGGGTACCTGAAAGGTAAAAGAATGACAGATATAAAATTAAAACTCTATCAATAAAATAACTGCGTATCTATCACATAATTTTAAGCTGAAATGGTGAAGAACTATGGAAAAGGATTAAATTTTTGCCAGTCCCCTTTTGCCACCTGCCCAAAAAATAAATATTTGTTCACTTACTTAAGATTGAGCTTTCATCAAATTGTAGGATTAAAATTAATATTTACTCCTCGTTATTTCAATACAAGAAATGAGGAGTTAGAGATAGGATAAAATAGAGATATCATGGAGATAGTTTAAGGTCAACTTGAAAACAATACATATTGACAGTGTAAGTCAGTAATCATATAACTCCATTTGCGGCGTTGCAGACTACCTATTATACTTTATTTTTTAAACAGAAAACTACTCAATGGCAATTCTTTAGAACTGCCGCGATTTTTCTTCTCTGTGCGGTGAAAATTCTCCAAAAACTTCAAGGAATGATGTCCATTTGTTCTCCTTTAAACAAATAACATATCGGCGGAGATTTTCAGACACCGCAAGAAAGTTATGTGATTGCCGACTTTTACTGTCGATATGCTTTCTTATAATGAACACAATCTTTCTGAAAATACATTGGAAAAATTATTCGACACCTTTGCATGTATATTTATGTTCTCAGTAAAGCTGCACTTCGGTCACCCTCTCTTCATCAGTTAATATACACAATATGAAATTCCATGACAACTTTCTGTGTATTCTTACCTGATGATGACAAAACACATCGTAACAAAAAAATAAAATAAATATAATCAGAGAACTCGATTAATTTTTAATTTTTTGAGCTGAAAATAATTACCTGAGCTCCAACAATTCCATTTCCACCGTAGAAATTCTTTGAATATAAATGCATGGAGCCACCCTTGCCTCTTGCAGCACCTGATTTGCGACCAGTCAATTCTGCTAAAACTCCCACAGGGGAGATGTCCATCAGATAAGACCACCCGTGAACTCGATAGGCAGAGATGATTGAATCATCAGGGCGCATGACAGCTTTCATTCCAACAGCGCAGGCTTCCTAAATAATTTGTGGCACAGAGTATTGTAAAGATATTGAAAATTTTTAGCTTTAAGCGTTTTTAATAGCCCCTTAATTAAAATTAAAATAGAGAATTAGCAGGTGTCTCAAATTTTGTGAATTTCATATTTAAAATGATACTGCTACGAAAGCTAGTGCAATGATATCCTTGGTTTCTAAATTGGATAATTATTGGAGAATATGTGACAAAATAACCTAATCTGCTAAAATACATGTGTTTAAATGGAAAATGCTGCCAGATGATGTCATGGGGTGGCACATTTTCTCACTTTTTAATCTAGTTTTCTCCAATATCCCATGTCAGAAAAAAATTATGAGAAATACTGCGAACTCAGCTTATTAAGCACTCTCAGATGAAGCAATAAAATTTTTGTGTGTAAATTTTCCAATGTTCAATTGAAAGGACTTTATTTTGTATTCCAAACATTTATTAGAAATGAAATTCCAGAATTTACTAACTAAGATAAATGAAATTAATACAAAAAACCAATGAAAGCCAGTGAAACAATTAGTCTCTGAAACAATTGTTTCTTCTCAGTTCATCTTCTATTTCTTCTACTTTATCATTTCATTTAAATGTTTGCTTGGCGCATTCATTTCTTTAATCTAAGGAGAATATTTTATCACTAGGGTTTACCTGGCCTGAATAAAGATGACAAAAACCACGGATGATTTTTTCCTTGTAAAGATTACCAGCTGCTGTTTCTATCCTACGGATTGTTTGCATTTGAGTGTAGTATTTTAAAGCTTCTTCTTTTGATAGGCTGACGCTGGTAACTGGACCAGTTTCTAGACGATGTAATTTAAATGGCTACAAACAAAAGAATGACAGCAAGTAAGAATAAAACTGAGAACAATTTTTTTTCTTCAATTTTTTCTTAGATATTGTCATGGTGCTCTCTAGTGCCTAAGTATATTTCAGAGTTGACATCCTACTCTTATTAGGTACGATCAATGAAAAAAAGCTGCGGATGAACACTTGAGGAGATAAAAAAGAAGCATACAGAGGGAACATATGACCTCAGAGTAAAGCTTCCATAGGTAACACAAAGATACCTCTTTAACTTTCATTCAGTATTAGCTTGTGGGCGAGATGCAGGAATGAAAAAAGAGAAAACCGTGTGGGATATTTATAATTTGACCGACAGAACTATGATGAGGAATAGGGAACTGAGTCTCAAACTATGTAAAGATTGAAAACCGTTTGGGAGAAAAATCATGGACCAAGGAAATCAATTAAATAGTCAAAAATTTACAAACCTTGACATCCAAAGTTACTTCTGTTGCAAAGTTGTTTTTACTGGCGCCAAAGAATCCCATGAGTTTCTGAAAGAAAACACCAAAGTTAAAAAAAAAAAAAAAGAAGACGTTTCTTATCGTAATTTTCACTCAACTTAAACATTGGTGCTTCCTGAGAAACATCAACTTAAATATTGGTGCTTCCTGAGAAAGACCACGACACAATGGTTTGGAATCTAGGAATAAGTGGAATTTAGTAGAATCTGAGTGAATAAGTACTTTAATTCTGAACATCCTTACTTTACTTTGAAAGTACCTAATTATTCCTCCACATTTTGAGAGTTATGTAAAAAAATTTAAGTTGACTGCTTACAAATTACTGCATTTAATAAAAAAGAAAACCATATGTGCACGATAGGAAACCCTACATATTTGTGGTTCCTTTTTCATTTTCCTTTTTCACATGTTGAGCTTGGGTTTACATGCTCCTTGTAGATTGTTGTTAACATACCAATAAAAACGTACTTAATCCAATAGAAATCATTATAACGTTGATATTCGGGTTCGCACAAGAACGTAATAATGTAAATTTCAAATAAGACTCACCCGTTGTTTATTTCCTCTATACCGGTCGGACGCATTTTGATCTTGGCGCAGGACCATCATCAGCGACTCTCTGAGTGAGTAGAAAAGGTATAAGGGAAATAAACAACGTGCAAGTGAGTTTTCTTGGAAATCATTGTTTACACGCCAGAGAGAGAACTTCAAATTTTTTTCATTGTAAAGCTGTACCGCCAATCTCTAAAACTGATCTGTAGGTGCTAACATGACAACCAGTAGCCATGGAGCGTGGATTTTCAACCACAAATCACTCTGATCAGTGACCAGAGCTGAGTAAAAGATTCATCGGGGCAATCCGCCGATTGGAAAACTTATCTTCCGAATCATTAATAATGATAAGAAACGCCTGATCTGAAACAACGGTGTTCTTTGAAAGCGATTGATTGAATTCCATCCCTGGATTCGCCGATCATTGAAAGAAAACTCCCTCTGTGCGATTATTGGCATTGCCAGTGCACATGGTGAAAGCAAAATTAAAAAAATGGATGGTCACAAAATTAGCGCAAAATTTCGAATGCTAATGCTTTCGAACGCAATTGATATAAGTTTATGATGTTGAAATTTTCTACGATTAAAAAATAAATATCAGTGAAACTCATTTTTACCATGCCACCCGTGACCTCCAGCTAGGTCATGAGTCCGAATGCAAAGTTGTAAAACTTATAGTTACCTGGAGATTCGTAACTTGGCTGAGACATCTAGAGTTCGTGGAAAACATCCTGACCGACAAATTTCTAAAATTACTACGGAGGTGAAAGGATGGTCTTCTTCCCAGAGCCGCCAGGACTTTCTATGAACACTGACTTTACACTTTCAACACTTTTTCAACTTTCTTACAACTGTCAAGGTTATGCATTGACGTATAATACAATCTAGACCGCGCATTACGAAATTCAAGCGAGACGATAGGCAACCCAGCAACACACAGCAAGTGTACCGGCGAGACAATGGTGGAATTCGTGGAATTGCCAGTCTTGCCAGTGCCGTTGCCTGATACGGGTACACTTAGCTCGTATATCCGGCGGTATCAACTAAGCTGAAGGCGCGTCTTTACCCCCCTAGCTGTCTTACCTTCCCCGCCCAAAGTCGGGCCCAATGCGCGGTCTAGATTGTATTATACGTCAATGAGGTTATGTGGAATATGTAAACAGTAAACATTATCAAGAACATGACGGTCAGAGTTTAATTTCTAAAATTCACTGTTAGTTTATTCAATTACTAGCAAGTGGAGGAATAAAGACGATTCATTTAGGGATAAACACTATTTATAAATGAGAGAATCATTTTTTATTTTTTATTTGATCATGAGGTTCACAAATAGATTGAATTATATTCCACAAATCCACACATCATCCCATTGATTACTTAGTGTATGGAGGATTTATTCAATGAAAAACCTGAAAATCAGCAAGCGTAGGAGGGCGCGCTTTTTGAATTTGGAAAAACTTCGATACTACAGCTGATTTTTCGATCTGTGTATAAGGGTCCTGTTACAGTTAGTTAGTTAATTTATTTATTTATAGACATTCGGATTCTTAGGCTGTTACCGCCTTTACAAAAGAAATGAAAGATGGGTGCATGTACAAAAATTCAGATTTTTAAATTAAGGGAGGCAAAGAGTTTCAGTAGTTAGGTTGGTGTGACATTGGGCTCATCACAGGTTCGTGGGTTTATATTTCTTTTGACGCACTTCGATATTCGGGCTGATGATATATCTGTTTTGTCAGTTGCGAACATACAATTCCTGCCATTATAAATCAGATTATTTTGCACAAGTCGCACATTTCGTCCAAGTGTAATGTTAAATTTTTTTTTATCAAAAACACAATTTCTCACAAAGTATTGATTGCTCATAGGTAGGTACATAAGAGCAGGGCCGGATTAAGGGACCCATGGCGGCAAAATATAGGGGGCGGCAAATTTTGCAATTTTTTTGAATGTAGGTATCAAAAAGAAAAAAATCTGATTTAGAAAATAAATTACAAACGAGAAAAGGCTCATTTCCCGAGAGTAAAAGTACAGTAATTTCTAATTTTGTCGTCTTTCGGTGATACAAGAGACAGCACTTTTAATTAGTCGAGTTAAGAGAGAAACCAAACACGCAATTTAACCTAGAACGGCGCGGCGGCGGTGGTCGGCATGAAACGCATAGCGCCTACAAGACTGCAGGAATACTTCACGCATTGCGTCAAACACACTGCGGTCAGCAGCAGTCAAACGCATAGCGCCTACAAGACTGCATGAATACTTCACGCGTTGCGCCAAACAGTGTGGTCAGCAGCAGTCGATCGGCTTGAAACGCATAGCGCCTACAAGACTGCATGAATACTTCACGCATTGCGCCAACACGGTGCGGTCGGCGCGGCGGTGGAAGTTGACATTTTTAACCACATTTATGTTTGTTCTTTCATAATTTTTTCGTTCGTTGTTTATAAACGGAAGGTCTTGTCCATACAGAGGGGTTTACGGAACTGAACTCTTGTTAATGTTGACAGGGCTTTCACAAAAACTGTGCTCAACACGAGCAAACGCGTCTCATACACCCCTCCTTCACCGGCACGTTCACTTGATGGTTTTTATAGATCGTATTCGACAGATCACTCAGGTGAGATTATAGTGATATCGATTGGTTCAATATGTATAACCACAGCCTCAAAAGTCAATTTAGAAATCTGAGATAACGGGTCTTATGTGATCGAATTTTTATTCTCTCGAGTACCAAATGGCAATGAAAAGTGAAATTGTTAGGAATTTTCTCATTTTCAGCGTTTCCAAATTAAATCCTAAAATTTTTGTTTGAGGTTATTTTCTATTGTTTCGAACCAAACGATGCATCGAACCCCTGTCGAATACGATCTATTGGTGTTTCAAAACAAATGAAAAGGGGGCGGAAAAATCCAGGCGGCCCATAGGCGGCAAGTAGGTGAATTCAGCCCTGCATAAGAGTATCTTTATCTGCGAGTTCCAGAAAAGGAGTTTTTTCCTCTCCTTTTTTTGTCACTTCTCTCATAGGAAAAATAGGTACTACAAATACTAGTGGTAGAGTTCCTAAACAACGACCAGTAAAACTATTTTTGGGAAGATTTAATGTCCGCGGAAAATTTCCAAAAAATCGATTGAGCAGGAGCCGAGATATCGATCTAGGCCACATTCTCCAACAAGAATTCTTGAATTAATATAATTTGAGTAGAAATTAAGTTTCCTGTCGAAAAATCCCATTTGGTACACCAGTTTCAAAAAAATCGATCGACCAGGAGCCGCAACGTATTGGCTCATTGGATCTCTACACAGTAGTAGTAAACGATACCAGTCAATTTACACACGTCAGAGCGCCTTCATTTTCGTGCAATTGATACTGTGCAATACCTCGGAGGCTCAATGGTTGCTTAGCTCAGAGCGCCTTCAAAAGCATCGCCACGACTTTGACGGCAGAAGACACGATTACCGCTGAAATTGCACTCCGGAGCGTGCGCAATTACACATTCTCTCATCACCGACGGTAAAGTAAGAAATATTTGTACCTTATTAATCTTCAACGTTGCAAGTTTATCACTGTTTGTTTTATTTGGGTAAACCAGTGTAGTCACTTCCAATTCAGCCGTGATTTTTCCGAGATACCTAGGGCCGGATTAAGGGGGTGACCACATGGGCCGCGGCACATGGCGGCAAAAGCGCAAATTTTGCAATTTTTTTAAATGTAGGTATAAACAAAATCGGATTCAGAAAAAAATTATCAACGAGAAAAGGGGACAAAATCTCTCTTCCCTGAGAGTATAGTAATTTCTAATTTTGTCGTTTTTCGGCGGTACAAGAGACAGCATCTTCAATTAGTCGAGTTAAGAGAGAAACTTAACACGCAGTTTGGCCCGGCGCTCATCGCATAGAGGAATGATGAAGAGGACTTGAGATGAAAAGGACAAGCCCTCGGCACGGCGGTCGACAAGTAACACATATTAGCGCCTACAAGACTGCATGAATACTTCACCCATTGCGTCAAACACAGCGCGGTCAGGAGCGGTTGTCGTGAAGCATAGCGCCTACAAGACTGCAGGAATACTTCACGCATTGCGCCAGTGTGCATTCACACAGTGCGATCAGCCCGGCGCAGTGGCGGAAGTTAAAATTATTAAACCACTTTTATGTTTGTTCTTTCATTTTTTTTTTTTTTGGTTCATTTCTTATAAATGGAGGACCTTGTCCACACAGAGATATGTTTACGGAACTTATTAACTTTAGCGCAAAGTTCCGTGAAATTTTGCTAGTGGTGTTGACAGGACTTTCACAAAAAATGTATCCAACTCGAGTAGGTGAACGCGTCTTATGCACCCCTCCCCCTACGGCACGTTCACTTGCTGGTTTTTATTGATGTTTCAAAACTAATGAGAAGGGGGCGGCCCATGGGCGGCAAGTTGGTAAATCCGGCCCTGGATACCTTCATTGAAAGTTATTATTTTAATGTTTCAAGACTCTTTGTGTATTCTTTTGTTAAAAGGGAAAAAGAAGTACAAGTACAGGATCCTCTCAGTTCATCAAAAATTATCCGGAATTTTTAGCCTCTGTAGTAATGGACTAGGCTGGGAGGGGGGGGGGGAGAAAATACCCATCAAAGGAGAAGTGTGGGACTCTTTCAGCTCAAGAGGAGAGATCAGGATCCCTCTAGCTCCAGATGGGGGTTCAGGGTTCCTTTTGAAAATGTAAAGGAATTTGCTTCGTGCTGGGGAGATAATTCACTGAAATTTGCACGAAAATCCGCACAACTATTTTCATGTAAAAAATTAAACTAGCCAATTTTTGGCAGTAGCTGATGTGGCTTGGTTCCTTTCTGTTTAACGCGGTCCATTTATGGAAAATGAAAAAAAAAAATATGTTGTAAGATACCTCAATGATGTGAGTAAACAAATTTCCTCTGATAGATCGGTCAAAAACGCGTAAGCCATACTCACCATTCTTAGCAGGGACATTCTGTAGACGGTTGATTGGTGCCAAAAATGTTTCATCTACAAATCCGGGTCATGAATTCAAGGTGACGTCAGTACGCACGCAGCATGTCCCGTATTTGAGATTGTTCCACGAAAAAGTTCGACTACTGGACGGACTGGAATTTCCGAGATCCATCATCGGAGGGATGATAAAGCCACCGGAAGGAAATTAAAATTCTTGTAAGGAACTACTGATATAAACGGCGGGAAAGCACATTGGTTGCTGCGCGACTTGTGAGCGCTTCGTTCCACGTTAATAATTTACTGCGATTTCCTCGAACTTCTTTTTTGCGCGACTATGTTTTAGCGTGGATCGAAGTGCGCTGTTTTTCTTCTTTCCTCCCTAGCGAGAATCATCAACTTTGATCGCCTCGAATAACCGCCTTGTGTCTCGTAAGAAAGTCCGGAATTTTCGCCTGAATGCTTGTCAAACGCAGGCCTCTCATTTCCGCAAAAACGCTGGGATCTCGGTCACAATTTGCAAGTGGCATTTGGTTGTGACGATGATCACGGTAAAACTCACCCTTTGACATTACCCCTGCTTTTTCTGATGATTGGAAGGCAATTCTTTTTTTCATTTCACATTGAAGCTAAATGCCATTATGCTCATGCTGCAAGCTTTTCGTGGTGGTGCCTATAATATATCTTGTGTTGATAACTGCTGATATAAGAAACAAAAAATAGGTACTGGCTCAAGGCTAAAAACAAGTTTAAATATACTACGGAACGTTTCGGGGTTGAACAGCTCCCATCATCAGCCGAATTTTAAAAAAAAAGGAAAATTAAGTTAAAATGATCGTGATAGATCTGTTACATGGCTCGGGCCGGATATATATTTACACATTTGTCATTTTTATAGTTCCTGCATACAAAATTTAGTCCAACACTGTGCAACAAAAAAAAATGACAAAAATGTCTCCAGGACGAGATAAGGTGATCCTTATGTATTTTGAGGAGCTGAATCCGAATATGACCTCCGTTTTTTCCCATCACCCTCCACTTTTTCGGAAAAGTCGATTTTACCCGGAAAAATGGCCATTTTTGGGCATTTTTGGTGTTTTTGCGACTATTACCCCCTGCAGAATGTAGGTAAAATTTTTCTCCGGTACGAGAAACGGCTAATCCGATGTATTTTGAGCCGCTGAGTCCGAAAATGACCTCCGTTTTTTCCCATCACCCTCCAGTTTTTCGGAAAAGCGACTTTTCCCCCGGAAAATGAGCAAATTTGAAGTATATTTGTCATGCATGCAATTTATTTGTATAAATTTTTCTGGACCCGTGGTACAGTCATTCTTATGTATTTTAAGCCGCTGAATCCGAATATGACCTCGGTTTTTTTCCATCACCCCCCAATTTTCCGGTAAAGTCGATTTTTCCGAGCCTAAATTTGTGTATAAGCTTTCCCGGACTCAAAGGGGATCAAAAATATATTTTAAACGTGTCCGCGACGTGCGATACATCGATTCTTATGTATTTTGACTCGCTGAACCCGAATACGGTCTTGGATTTTTCCGATCACCCACGATTTTCCCGGAAAATCGATTTTCCTTGGAAAACTACCTTTTTCGGTGTTTTTTGGACGATTTTCCTGTTGTGAGGAGTCTAAGAAATTTTCTGAGATCCTCTCTAGGTCTCTTCTGCTATATTAAGAGCAGCTGAATCCAAATTTGACCTCTATTCATCTCTGAAAACCCCCCGTTTTCTAGAAAGTCCGATTTTTCAGGGAAAAAAGCTTTTCCGAACCGTCCCCACCTCCAGGGAAATTTGAAAATTTTTCCGCACGTGTGATACATCGATTCTTATGTAATTTGAGCCGGAAAACCCGAATATGACCTTAGAAATTCGTTATCACCCACCATTTTTACGAAAAACTCGATCTTTTGGGAAAAATGGGTATTTTTGACCATTTACGGTGTTTCCAGAGGTTACTTTAAACGTGGGAGTTCGTTTCAGATTTTGTTAGGACCGATGATGTTGTTGTTGTGTTAATTTTTTTAAAAGGGAAAACAATACGGAAAGTTTGCTTTTATTTTTATTTTGAATTAGTTATTTTTCTTCGCGTTGTATTTATCTATTTAAATATTTTTGTTTTTTTTATCATCAAATTATTGAAACTCGCTTTTGAAGCAAAGTAAAAAATAGACCGATTGAATTTTTCACAATTTCATCATCATTATTTTTTTTAATCCATAACAACGCGGGGCAAGAACAAAACCCCTCTCTCACCAAAACATTTTCTTATTTCCGTTTCTTTTTTAGCGCAATGATAAACACATTTGACTGTTAATAAACTCATAAAAATTAAGCCATCGCAGATTAAGATCGAACGAAACACCTAGGTATCTTATATTATCTGTCGATATTTTTAAGTAGTTCCATTCAATCCTCCTTTAACGAGTAAAATTCTAACAATCAGCTCATTTAAGAAATATTGAAGATAAAAAGCTCAAACGATCTTACCATAGATCTTCTCTTTATTTTTGTGGGTGGCAAGTTCACTAGTGCTTGTGATGTAAGATCAGTGGCGTGGCTTACTTTGCGATAAATCGAGTGATCTGCCATTTAAACCTATGGAAAAGGATCGATAAACAGGATGTTCACAACGAATACTTTAATAATCGATTCTTTACCACAGCTTCAAATGAGGAAATATCGATAATCGATTATTCACTCCTCGCCACTGTGTAGGATGTCGTCTCTCAAATCCTGTAGGGAGTAGGGAAGATGTTGGATATGATGCATTGAATGGGAGGAAAGTAGAGTCTCCTTTAAACTGAAATCTCGTGGGAAATAAAGATGCAAACACTAAAAGCAGGTTTCATTACACTAGAAAGAACTTAAAATAGGTGAAGGCGTGACTCAAATATGGATCTGTTTTGTGTTTTGTTTTACAGGCATCATAGCTGCAGAAATGAATTCTCGTGGTGCTCTTAAGTTCATTTTCCTCTTTTTCATGAACGCCGTATGAGCCATCAGGTGTTGCCAAATTTCTTTCGACAAATCACGGATTTTCAGGAAAATTTGTGAATATTTCACCTCCTATATTTTCCACAGGATTTTATTCGTAATTAGATCTTAAAAGGCTGAAAATGTCAAGAAATAATAATAATACGACTTTCTTCAAAAATAAATAGTTTTAAAGAAGAAATTTGGCAACAATCGAATGCTTATACGGGGATTTACTTAGCAATCGGCAGTGCAGGTGTCACTACGAAATCGGTTACAACTTAAAAGAGCTGAAAAATTAACGACAAAAAAATTCTAAAAAAAGCTTTGTAATATAATGAGAGAGACTGCTTGCTACAAATTTCTTTTGGAAAGACTTTGATAACCGTCGCTGGAAATATGGAAAGAACCTGCCATAGATATTTAAGATGCTACGAATTAATATGATACTGTATGTAAGACGTGATGTTGTGTACGTTACTTGCTATGAAAAACTTAAATATTCATGGTACAAAGATATAGCTCAAAGTGTTACAATTAAAAATATAGTGCTAATGAAATGTGTATATTACGATGGAGTGCTTGTTGATTCTTGTTGAATCATAAATGGACCGCGTTTAACAGAAAGGAACCAAGCCACATCAGCTGTTGCCAAATTTAACTGGGCAATTTAATTGTTTACGAGAGGACATTTTTGTGCATTCCCTTGAGCATTTTAAGGAATTTGGATCGTAGTGTGGAGAAAATCCACTGAAATTTGCACGAAAATCCGCACAACCGTTTTCATGTAAAAAATTGAATTGCCCAAATTTTGGCAATACCTGATGTGGCTTGGTTCCTTTCTGTTTAACGCGGTTCAAATATGTTCTGAATTCTGATTCTTAAATGTCAAAATATACCTTACGTCAGATCAGTTTTCAATTGAATATTTTTTTCTTCCTCTTTTTTCTTCTTTTTTTTCTAAATGAAAGTTCGGTTGAAGAAACCCAACGCACAGCGCGACGCAACATCAATGACGCAACAGGTAGACTCAGCTTAAAGCAGCAGAGCTAAGGAGCAGGAAGAACAACGCACGACGCAGATTCTGGGACCCCCGCGTCCTCTATAAAAGAAAGCATGACCTATTTCTCCTGGCGTCATACATGTAGATGAGTTATTTTTTCCATAAACTCTTCGTTTTACTAAATCCCACTCACTTTCCCTTTCCCTCTCGGTACCCCATCCAAAATGGCTTTTGTTTTATAAATGAAGTAATTCCTCATGCGCTTTTGCGGGGCTTTGAATTCGAAATTTGTGCGTGACTATTCACGCTTACCTCTTTTTTTTGTTTTAGAGGAAGCAAACTTCAGGAAAGTCGAGAATAATGCAACGGAGACATGATTCTTTTTATGAATGGAGTGAAGGTAAAGTGGAACAATGGGTGGGGGTGGACGCATCACGGTAGGCAGAAGAAAAGAGTTGGGTGGAGAGAAATGTCATGGGTAAGTGTGCGACTTGATCGATGGAAACAATTCTTAAAAGCTTGAATGATAGTCGAAGAAAGATGAAAGAAATTGCAGATCCCCCCTCATCCTGGTATAAAAAGAGCATTTCCTGCTGCGCGCACCTTAAACGGTGTCTAGACCCTCTTCCTTCCTGTGGGCTCCCTATTTCCCTGGATGTGCTTCATATTGCTGTTTATTTACCTGATTATATTGTTTGGTTTCCGCCTGAATTATTTAACTGAGTGACATTACTACATTTGCGTCCTCGTATTGAAGTTGTATAGTTGAATTTCGCGAGGGAAGGAAGGTTTTTTTTCTCAGAGCGGTACAGAAAATGAATTTATTAGGATACTCCTGCCTCCTGTACTACTTTAGCTTTGCACACTCGTTACAGGTCTCGCCAAACAGCAGTGTCAATGGTGAGTAGGATATCTGAGATCAACATAGTTCTTAAACGTACCTTTGTGACTTTAAAATGGTTTTAAACGAGCAATAGACAAAGATATAGAAAATATTCCCAAAATGATAGGTTAAGATAATGGATATTTACCCAATTTTTTGAGGAAATATCGAAAACATTGATAACTTCATTAGATTTGATCGTAATCATGTAGATTTTTTGAACGGATCAGAAGATATATAAGAGAAGAAATAACCGACTTTAACCTGTTTCAGAGTATGAAATTCATTTGAAAGATGTTTTCAAGCTAATAGTATCGCAAACTTCAAATTTCAGCTACAGTTTTTTTATAAACTTTAGCCCGACAGTCTATTTGAAACTGCCCCCCCCCCCCAAAAAAAACAAACAAACAAACAAACAAACAAAAACAAATAAATGAATACCTGCATAGAGCAATACTTGTTTTTTTTTAAACACTTTAAATAGAGGTAAATAATTGAAATCAGCAAAGTTACGGGTTAAGGTACTCTTAAAACTTTATTTGAAGAAACCCCTGTTTAGGAGTCGTCGCGAAATTATAGAGCTTGCAATGCATATTGCCTACTCTAACGTATTGAAGGCGGACTAAGCTGCTGGTTACATTAAGCGCGGCATTTGTGATAAAATGTATTTCCTATGTGAATCATAGGGGCATTCAAACATACCTAAAATCCTCCTTCAAAAACTTCGAGTAGAGTTAAAAGTAACGTTTCTATCGTTGGTGCCAATTTGCATGGATAGTGCATCGAAATGAGTTCGTTTACATTCATTTAAAGATTTAGATGGTTTAGCTTTTGTATATAGTAAGGCCGATTTTTAGGAAAGTTTATGCGCAAAATTAATGAGAACTTTAACGAGAGTCTTTCTTTGTTCTTTTTTCATGCCTACTCGCTCAGAGGCAGACAACATTATGGTGAAAACAAGAGCAGATTCGTCGTTTGGGAAAAGTGATGAAAGTTATGAGTTCCTAAGTGCGCCACTCCGAATACGTAAGTTCGAAATGAATGACAAAAGCTTAGTTACCTACTTTAAAAATGGTATTGTTTTGCTAAAACTTGGTTAAACATTGAGCATTCGGCCAGTTTGCTATCGACATTAATTTTTTCATAAAAATTTGTCAGAAATCTACCACGGAAACCTATCCAAAGGATCCAAAAAAGAGAGAGAGGAAGGAATTTCATTGTAGTTCTAAAGGAATGCCAAACACTGAAATGAATATTTTGGAAAAATTGTATTGGCGTCTTAAAATTTGAATATTTATATTTTCTTTTTTCTTTTTTTGGGGGAAAAAAAAAGTAAATACAAAAATATTAAACCTAATAAGCAAAAAGTTTTTTATGAAAAAAAGTTTTAAAAGAATATGGATAGCTAATGCAGTGTTCCTTTTATTTTCTGGTGCCAAAATACCGAAAATGGCAAAAAGAGCACCGTGACTTGAGGAAGGTTACGTTAAATTAACGAAAAAATATGTATGCGCCTTCGTTCTTTATTGACAACGCCTTCATGCAACTATTCGTGCTCAAAGGATGTCCGTGTTGCATACACTCAAAATCGCAGGCGCTCTGTTTTTTTTTAAATTGCAATGTTTACCTGCTACTACTTTCACTATAGAGAAGCTCGTGTCATTCGTGTTAAGCGCGTTGACCATAATAATCTTCTGAATTTGGTTAAACCGTGCAGCGTTGCCAAACAGTGCAATCGGCAAAACGTTATCAACAATGGTTTGCGGAATTTATACTTGCATTAATCGCGGGGTAGAAACTTTTTCAGTAGAAAATGTTGAGGAAACTTTATGTAGCAGTCACATCAGAACTAGAGATGTTTCAAAACATCATCAACACAGTAACAAGGTTTTTTGTCTTTTCCACCTGACTGCTTCCTTTACTTATTTATTTACTTGAATGATACATTGAAAAAGATTTTTACTTGAATGATATCTCAAATATGTGATGTACAGTTGTGTGGCTTTTCTTTGGACAAAATTGAGATATTGGTTCGCTCTGTGAGTGGTTCTCATCTCGGAGTAGGTATATTTCGTGAAAAAAAATTTGAACACTCATTCTTCACCTCATAGTTCCTGAGTGGTGCAAACTTCTGGGTAAACTTTCTACATTAAACGTATTTTCATCAAAATCCTCCATCAGTAAAATGTTTCATTTATTGCAGCCACCGTGTTGCTTTTGAGCCTAAAAATTATTTGATAGTTACTTAACTTTTAATTTGATTTTTATTTTTTTTTTTTATTTTTATTTTTTTCATTTTTAAGTGCTGTTTACAGTTTAAGTAAGTCAGTGTCGTACTCTGATTATTCTTTGAACTGGACTGATACGAATGCCACCATTGAAAAAATCACGGATATTTTCATATTTCAGAATATCATAGACTAAATAGTGAATTACGCATGCTACCGTGTTGAGGAAAAACGCCGCACGAGCCTTCAGAGGTTGCCAAATTTCCTTTGATAAAATATGAATTTTCAAGAAAATCTGGAAACATTTGTCCTCCAATATTTCAGAGAATTTTACTCACCATTAGATCTAAATTATCTCAAAATTTCAAGATGAAATGTTCATTATTCTCCTTAAAAATAAAACTCTGTTGGAGGAAATGTGGCAACGATCGAATGTACATACGGCGTTCTTCCTTAGCACGGCAGCATGTGGAATGATGTATAGAACAGCGACGATTCTTGCAAGTTGGTGGCACCATTTATTTTCCAGTCCAATCCATTAAAGACAATCAATTCGAGGCAACGTGGCATATATTCATAAATATTGATTGTTCGGATGAATTTAAACAGACAAAACACGTTGTTGCCTAACTTCCGAAAATCATGCCCAATAAAGGAGCCGTAGGGGACTCGGCTAGATTGTATAAATCGCATAAATCGATTGGACATGAATATTCATGAGGCCAAAACAGTTCCATGACATACATATATGAGATACATGGGCCCATGGAAGAAGGGGTGGGGGAGAGAATGGAGGGTCTGTTTAAATGGAAAACAAAATGAATATTTATGGTTTGGGTGGGATTTAACGGATTACCACTTCAACGCCTCAGAGATTCTAAAATCAATTTATTATTAAGGATACCTAATTTACTCATCTGTTAAAATATGGATGAATTCTAGATTGGGAGGAAAGTAAGGGGGGGGGGTTAAAAAAATTAATCAAGTTGGATGTTTATTTTGCCCATGATGATATTTTATGGTTTAATATGGTATGCGTGATTTTCACAACTTTAACTGCACGAGAAAAATTTTTTTAGTAAATATTATAGTAATTTAAGGTTTCATTCAATTACACCGTCGCAATGAATTTCGCGAGTGAATCTGTCAACTTCGTTTAAAAACCAATATCCGGTCAGTACCGTCAAATGATCATCGACAAATACTCGAAAAAACTCATCGTAACAGAATTTTATAAGGTCCATGTTGGCAACAAGTATGCAGCAGATGGAAACCATCAAAGGCTGACAACGATTCTCTTTTCCACTTATTCAAACGTCTTTTTTTTGGCCTTAAAGTTAAGTGGCGGGGAAAGATACTTCACTTCTTCTTTGAAGCTACTCTAACCGCAAACAGGGCGAGTTTTTCCTTTTTCATGATGGACTTTAGATTGACCTCTGGAGTTTGACACTACATTCTTTCAGCGACCGATAAATTTCCTTTGATATAACCTCATTCCATCTGTCGAAATCACACACAAGTAATCAACTTCAGTACTTTTGAAAATCATTGATGTGCACATCAGAAATGTGGCGAATGACAGGATGAATCTGAGGGTTTGCAAATGACGATATTTCTGAAAGAATGGTATTTTTTTAATCGAAGACTTTGTTTTTTGCGATTTTTGTCCCTCAGCTAAATCATAATGAAACATTTTGGGATGGATCTCCTCCCCTTTGTTCAGGAGGTCAAAACTGAAAAAAAAAGAATCTTAAATTTGCCGCCAAGAAGTATTTCTTCTTAAATCAAGAATTTTGCTGCTTAATATACGCTACTTTTTTGCTTTACCCAAGCATTATTTTTCTTGTATCAAGAAAAAGTCCGCCCAAAGCAAGATAAAAAAAATTTCTTGGCGGCAAATTCAAGAATCATCACGCTTGATCCAAGTTACTTTTTTTTACAGTGAAGGTCACGTCACCACATAGTAGTTCGTCCTAAACAAACATCGGGTGTTTGTTCAAAATGCAACACATTTTTTTAAAATTTAAAATTTTTGTTTAAAATACGCAATGACCCTTGCATTTTCAACGGATGATATGCTTATAAGAGCAGACATGGGAGCATTCCCGCTCAAGACGCTTACAAGAAGCGTTTCCATCGTGACATTTTTAATCACCTCTCCTGAGCAGTCGTTTCCCTCTTTGTTTCGCTGCATGTCACGGCGGGAAATGAACCCCCCAATGAAAAAGATCTGTCGCAGATAAAAACTGAATGCAATCGCAATGCCTGTAAAAAATGAGAGCACAGCGATGTCACGTTGATTCCGCAAAATGAATTCTCTTGACACGCGTTAAACGGCTGATTCGAGGAATGCGGCAAATGCGTGTGCGACTATGGATACGGAACAATAGCGGATTAAAATAACGGTGCTGCTTGTCCTTTTTGCATTCTATCACCATTTCCGTATTCGGATAACACAATGGGCATCGAAGCACCAACGAAAAGCTCTCTAGACTTGCTTAACACGAGTTTTTCTTGAATTATGAGCCAAGAGTTCCGAGCGGCTTTAAGGGTGCATACTGCCGTGCCAAGGAAAAACGCCGTATGAGCCTCCAGACGTTGCCAAATTTCCTTGGATAAAATACGACTTAGCTCGGAAATTTTTGAAGATTTCCCCTCCAATTTTTCAGAGAATTTCATTCGAAACAGGATCCGAATCATCTGAAAATCTGAGGAGAAAAAATTCACAACTATCCTCCATAATGAACATTTTATCGTAGGAAATTTGGCAACTCTCGAATGTTCATACGGCGTTCTTCCTTAGCACGGCAGCATAGTGAATGCAATAAAGTAATGTTTATGCATGCCTCTCATGGTGGAGATTATAGTATCAGAATAGTATGCATTAGCCATCTTTCAATTTTTTTAAAAACCCTCAATCACAAAAACTTGTCAGACCAATAGTAGAGTTTGAGGAGGCCTGTGAAATGCATTTCATCTCATAAAAACACTCAGATCTAACCACCGGAAGGTTATTTTTATGATTAATGTAATTTTTCTGACAAACGCAGTTTTTTTTAGAAGAAAAATATTTTATTGGAAGCTTAAAAACAGTTTGTGGTAATATTTTTAATTGATTTGAATTTTCTTAGATTCTGACTGAGGTATACAATTTCTGCAACTATGTATTTACCTTAAAAATTGTATAACTAGCTGGAAAATTGAGTGAAATAGTTTCACGTGGTACCTATACAACTCCCGATGAAAAAGTTCTGAGCAGAAATTTTACTACACTATCTGACTATCTGGTCATAAATATGCTCTCCAAGGAATCTAATGGACAAATACTGAACTCCTGAAATGGTGTTAACCATGCATCTGGTAAATCTGAAAAATATGTCAAGAATATGCCACAAGCCACTGTATTCCCCACGGAATACTTAGTCAGGTAGTCCAGTAGTCATTGTCAAGCTTCTTTATGGTTCTGCAACTGCAGCTGAAAGAGCCAAATTCTACAATGTCACGGGGTGGCATAAAATAACGAGAGGAAACATTTAAAAGTAGCATATTGCTTACATTCTCTCCTTATTTTTGCCGATGTAAATGTCTCAATGATATCAAAGAGTTTTGGCAAATATCTAAGAATTCTCGAACAAAATGACAGAGATCTGAAGGAAAAAATTAACTCTAATTACGCCCCTTCATTTTCATTACAATTTTTAAGGTGTTGAAATTATAAACAATGTGCCTCCAACTGGCTTGTTACAAGTAGGAAGGTACATCTATATCAAGGCAATTTAATTTTAATTTTCTCTCTAAGGGTAAGTAAAGCTTGGGACGGTAAAATAATCAATTTGTTTCTTCTTGCAAGGTTTTTACAGACTGCCAAAACTTTCAGAGGTGATTGACGTCGGACGATATGCAAAAACTAGAGATAGCATAGGTGAGACTTTTTCAAAGTTTTAAAGTTTTTGATCTGGTTCTTTTAAAATCGTTGTTTTACAACATTCCATACAAACTTTGTACGATGATCATTTAAAGGGGAATACTTTTAACCATCACGGGTCGTGGTAGGTATATCAACGATTTTTTATTTATTTATTTATTTTTGGGGGGGTAGGTATATTTCTTCTTGTTATTTAGGCCCTTTGTCCATGATTTAGATAACTGTTCATATGCTGAACGCCATGAATAACATCGCCCATCAATCTAAAGAAGTAACATGATTTTATTCCTTTGGATGTTTAAAATTTTTTGAAAAAATTACATTTTTTACATTCATGCAAAGTACATGATTACAAGATATTGTAAAGTATCAAATTTAAAAGTAATTTCACTTTGAAAAGGGGAAAAAACAATTGTGGCGAACACTAAAAGTTTTACGAACTTTTAAGATTCTAGCGAAGAAGAATGAAAAGAGTTCAAAAGCATAAAAATGTGCATTATCCAGTGAGATAATGTCATTGTTTTTTTCGTGAAGGTTCCCCGGCAGCAAGGATGTTTCTGCCAAGTATCAAGCGAATCAACCAATTCAAGAGTGAGTATGTATTAAAATGTATGTACCGTATGTTTGTTCATGCACTTATGTAATAATTAAAATACTCGAGCCTCCCCCTTTAACTTAACTCTCTTGTGATGCTCTCCTCCCAGTCCTTCATGTTTTAATACTCTGTCCTACCCACAAAAAATTAAGATCCGATATTTTCCGTCCTCTATCTGATCTCATCGCTATACTTCCGAAATTTTTTCATCAAAGCCCTTCCTCTGTTTTCACTTAACTTAACTTCAATTTAATCTCCTAATTTACTCTATTCTTTCTTTGTATTTTTTTTATTATTATTATTTTATTTTTTGTACATTTCTATTGATCTTTCTTTTCTGAAGTGTTACTGATGATTATGGGCGGTATAAATGCGCTTGTAAATAAACGTACTAACCAACCAACATAATGCAAGGTTTGATCGTATCTTGAAAGTTTCGAAACTTAAGATCGTATTTAGTTTTTATTACCCTTAAAATATGGATATTGGTGAAACTAGAATAATCTGTACCTCGATTAAGGTGACTCTAAATTAATGTTCATTTTATTCTCTCAATAATATAGCATCATACCTATGAGCTTAGTATGTTTTATAGTTTTTCAAGAGGTGCTCCTGAGAGCCGCAGAAAAATTGTCTCTGAAATAAAATATGACGGATAATCTGAAACTTCTCACACGAAAATACGTAATTTTCCAGTTATATTGCCAATCTATGTAAGTCCAAAATATAATTTTGACCACTACCTGAAACAGTTCTCGGGTAAATTGGCGAAGCATAAAGAAAGACGTTCTCTAGAAAATTGCAAGGAATCATTTTAGCTGTATTTCAACAACAGAAAAAAATCCATCAAAATCAACTGTATATTTTGAGAAACAAGGTTTTCAGTAAAAATTGGGTAAAATTTAATGGCAAAAGCAAAGTTTAAACACATATAATGTCACCAGAGTCTCAGCTGAAACGTCCGACGTGAGTGAAGATCAAGAGAAGACAGGTTACGCGTGAAGACAGAACTGCACGCACGTGACGCAACAGGACAAATGCGCTTTTGTACAGTTCAAAAAACCGATTTAGGGTCAAAAATCTAAGCGAAAATAATGGCGTAAATAGGCGAAAATAAGACGTTCAATTCTTACCCTATTCTATTCTTGTGGTCTTTGCATTTTTAATAATGTTAAAAGCGTTTGAGTTGAATCATTTCTCAGACCAGCAATAGCACCGGTGAATTTTAGTAGTCATGTGATATAAGGATTATATATTATCGAGGAGGCTACGCCCCCTGAACGCTTTGTGGTAATCCCTCGAAGCGCTTTGCGTCTCCTACGTTGTGCGTTATGCGTCACTCTCATGATTTTATATTTGTATAATTGAACATTAATTTAACGCGGAGACTTTTGATTTTAATTCGATGTAATTTTGCCGGAAACAGGTTTGATGACGGACAGACTCACGCCTCGAGACACAGAAGAGGAAGGCTTGGATGACGTGGCTTCTGAAATGATCGAGGAAGGTATGTTCGTTTTCATCCTTTAATGGGTCACTGGACAGGCTGTGAATGTGAGCATTTCATAAAATGGTTCCTCATATTGATTTTGCCTCGTAAACGCTTTCCGTTTTTGCGAAAGACACGCCCCGCGGGTTGTGTGGGGCCGGTTTCTACGAGCATCAGATACAGGTCTGCGAATACGCAGTAAAAAAAGAATCAGACACCAAGTTGAAAAAAACAGAGAAAAAATCGAGTGTCAGGGGATGGTTTTCGACAACCACCCCTAAAAATCCCAAGCCGGGATCAACTTGACTCGACTACTTCTTCTGAGGGAGTCACGTGGCCACGAGCACGAGCAATAGATAGATAAAAAAGAATCAGACATCAAATTGGAAAAAAGAAAAAATCGAGTGTCAACACAGCCGAAGATAGGAAAGACGTAATCGGGCCTCGTTATATCACTTTCCTTCGATCTGAGGAACACCTTACTATACTGGCAGCACGGAACAGAGCAATGCGAGTTTACGCCTCGCGCCATAGCGCCTTCAATTTTGCAGACGCAACACGGACATCCATCAAGCACGAATAGTTGTATCTCTGCGCCGTCATCAACGAGCGCTCTGTACCTCGCTCTGTTTCGTGTTATTTTCGTTTGTCTGGTGGCCTCTAAGGCCACGTTCTTCGTTGTTTTCCTTTCATCCGAATACCCTTTTTTAAATGAGCGTTTCATCTTATTGAAAGTGGCTGAAAATCAAGCACAATGTATAGATTGGATTGAATTTAAGTACAATGTTTCTTAGAGAGAAAATCGTAATCCGCTGATGTCATGAAATCAAGTTGACGAGAAAAAATGGCAGATTTCAACTGTTACTACTCCCGAGCTGATCATCATAAACATTTACAAAATGCTTTCGACGGATGTTAGAATATATTGCTAGACGATTCCTCTGTGTATTTTTAAATCAAGAAATTCTAATTACTATTTTTAAAACTATTCACATACACGTTCAAAACATACTAAACAATTGAAGGGCTTGGAGGACAAGGCGTGTAAGTGAAGTTTTTGAAAACATTGAGATATTCGTGAACTCAACCAAAACCAGTTTGAAAGTACATTATGTGAAAAATTCACAGTTAAAATCCACCTTTAAAGCCTCAAAAAGTGAGTTTAAATTTCCTTTCCGCCGTTAGGTTCCACGTAATTTTGAAACTTTAAACACGTTCTTCTTGAAATAGCAAAAACTGCACTTATGCGCCTTGTCCTTCAAGCCCCTTAATCTTCCATTTCTTTCGAATTTTGAAGTACAATATGATTTATATAAGCAAGACACGTATGCTGAAAATTTATTAAAAATATAAGTCAAGCAAATATCATTATGAGGCATTAATAAATTATACGGACGGACAAAAAATTTTACCAGAAAATGAGGTGTGAATTTTACAATCCCGTTCAGTAAAAACAACTATTATTTTTTCTCGGTGTAACTTTTAGTAGATATCACCTATCTCCTCATGAATGTCACCCCGTATATAGCTGATGTCATTTAGCTTCTAGGTGATTTCATCTAGCTTCTAGGTGGGTCACCTTTTTTCTCGTGATGTCACGTATTTTTAGAGGTTTTCCTCTAATTTTTAGTAGACCTTTATAACCATGAACTTCGATCTTACACAGCCCTTCGACAGATCTACATGGTAAAAATGTATGTTTGAAAAATGACAATATCTGTGCTCTACGCTCAACTATGCACAGTATGCAAAGGGTAATGATGTGATATTTTTGAACTCAGCTTAAATATTTTTCCTAATTTTTAAACGCTTTTGATAAATTGAACCCTGAGTGACCGCGAACTTATTTAATTTTGTTTTGTTTTAGAGAAACCTCCGATCAGAATCCATTTCCCAAGGACATTGCATAAGAGGCTGAGTTATACACCCTCTCGGTCATCAGAGAGTAAGTAGCTGCCTTTGAAATTGCCATTAAACTTACAGGTAAAAAATCATCGGCTTTCATCTCGGATAGTGATGACATTTAACTGCTGTGTCAGAAATCATGTTTGTGATTAATGAGAAGTAGAAATTTAAGACATAGATAGGTAGCACCATCAAGTGTTGCTATGATTGAGAAACTGTCTCTTTCATCTAATAGGAATCAACTGAGCTGAGAAGAGCAATTTTTGTCATGAAAATAATGATGTTTAGAGAACATTTTCTCACACAAATGAAATGAAGCGGAGCAGGCATTTCAGCTCTATTAAAGTGAGGATCAATATGACGTCACCTTTCGGCAAAAGTATCACAAGCGCCATGCGATGTTACACAATTTCCGCTATTTTATTTTTTTACAGAGAAATTGTTCAACGAAGCTGTCCGAAAATTTCACAGAATTTTTTCGGCGGCACGGAGAAAATTCAGTGAAATTTTCGGAGAGCTTCGTCGAACAATTTTTCTGTAAAAAAATAAAATGGCGGCGGAAATTGTGTAACGTCACATGGCGCTTGTTGGAATATGACAATTTGATTTTGAAAAAAAATAACACAAATTTTACGAAAGTAATTTGGCAAGATTTGAATGTTATTACGGCTTTCCTCCTAAGGATGGTGACATGATTATTATCGAATCCTATATTAGTTTCAGGTATGGAGGCCGAGCCACCTTCGAAGCGGGACCCGAACTCGTGGATCTACTGGATTTTATCGAATAACAAGAACGCCCGCTCTAAGGAGCAGAAGTAAGCCAAGCCCTTGCTCACGAGAAATGTCGTATGTTTGCTTTACGCGGGATCTCCTCTCCCATCCAATTAGAGGTCTCCGTTTCTTTTCTCCTTCTCTGCCTTATGACTTTAAGACGTGGCGCTGGGCTGGGGCTCCTTCAGAGTTAGCTGAGGCATGTTGCCGTGCTAAGGAAGAATACCCTATCAACATTCGAGAGGTGCCAAATTTCCCTCAATAAAATGTTTATTTTTTAGGAAAGTTATGAATATTTTTCCTTGAAATTTTCAGGAATTTCAGGTGAAATTGCGCACAAAATTATCTGAAAAATTGGAAGGAGAATTTGCACAAGTTTACCAGGAAATGCGGGTTTTATCAATGGAAATTTGGCAACGCCGGAAGGTTCATACGGCGTTTTTCCTTACCACGGCAGCATGGGTGTGATTTCCGGGCCCCGTGTGTCCCTCATGAAAGATTGAAAAGCGTGGGAGTTTCACGATTGATCAATAATTCAAAGGATCCCCCTTATTAGGCCTCAAAGTTCCCCGGAATTTTTGCCGGCGTTTTGAAAATAGCGCGTGCCAAGAGCCTCAACTTGTGCGACGGTTTTGAGCTTGAGCCTCTGTTTTTCTAACCGTCAGCCTTCCGCGAACTGAAAGTTATAATGTATAAGCTCCAAATGCTCTTTGGTAATTAAATCTGAATAATTTCTCAAACTTGATAACAGGGAGTTTAGAAACCCGCCATACGGATAGAGGAATTTCTCGGAAATATTCCTACACTCAAACTACTCACAGATATTTTAATTATTCCTTGGCACCGCCATGCTCGTCGCCGCACCGCACCAGTGTTGCTATTAAGCGCACACTACTGCCGTGCTAAGGTAAAGCGCCGTATGAACCCTTAGGCGTTGCCAATTTTCCTTTGGTAAATCACGAATTGTCGGAAAAATTTGTAAATATTTTCCCTCCAATTTTCCATATAAATTTGTTCGCAATTTCACCTAAAGTTCCTGAAATTTAAAGGAAAAATATTCTGCATAACTTTCTTCAAAAATAGCTATTTTCCGAGAGGAAATTAGGCAACACTCGAATGCTCATACGGCGTTTTTCCTTAGTATGGCAGAGTACGTGTATAAATTTTTCAAAATAATCTCAATTTAGTTTAGGAACACAAACAGGTTTAGGTTTGACTTCTTTTCTTTTTGCAGCATATTATTTTTATTGATTATGATTTTGCATGGTATGCCCATCTTTTTTGTGTCTGTTCATCACTTCCTCTTTTGGTATTTTATAGGTATTCGCATTATGACTAATAATTATCTGATATGAAAAAAGTATGACGTCAGCTTCGTTGGCATAAAAAAAAAAAAAAAAAAAAAAAAAAAAAAAAAAAAAAACTAAAAAAAAATGTATGATTTGAGTGAGTATAAAATTATTGAACACATTATTGTTCATCAACAAAGGACTTTGTCCTTCGTTCATGCTGATTTGCTCCTAAAATCGTAAAACTTACAAAGGCCTAACGTTACCATTCTCAACTCAAATGAAAAAACACAAAATCAATCTGACCTTGATTAGTGAATTTTACTTGCCTTTTGGATGGATTTTATCTTGAAATTTCTAGGAAGTACCAACTTCATAAAACAAGCCTGGCTTTGCTAGATGTACCTATACGACTCAACAATGCTATACGAACGACTTGAATCTCGATCTTCCTGTCCACCTCAGAGTAGTCTTGATCCGTAGAAAGGTTTCATTTCCTCACATAATCAATTATGCTAATTGGCTAGCCTCGACGGAGAGTTAGCACTCGTAGGTCGAAATCTTGTGCATTTTTAAGATTTTGTTTGTTTTATTACGAGTGTCCGTAAAATCCTAGAAGCGTATTTGGCGCGACCATAAATTTTTTGTTAATTTCTTGGGGGCTCCCATATAAGAAGATATTATCTCCTAATTCTTGGTAGTTCAAATAATTGAAACTATATATCACGGAAATTCTATTTTATCTGTAGTCTTTATTTTTACTCATTTTTTTAAAAAAAAATGACGTTTATACATATGATTTTGTTACAGGCAGGTCAGATCATCCTCTCCATTCCGAACCTCAGCATTTTACGCCACTATGGGGTAATCTGACATCTTTGAGTTTTCTGTTTCCTCATTCCCAGAATTTGGACAATGTATATTGAAATTGTTAAACAGCGGAATTCATTTGAATGAACATTAAATAGTAACAGATTTATCTCCTAACAGTGTAAATATAAATAAAGTAAGCACGATGAATCTAATTCTGTTGAATATTTTATCATCTCTTAACTGAGAAAGATCAAATTTCTTTCGCAACACTAAAGTACTTATATTAAATTTCACGTTTGCTATAGTTACACAGAACAAAATAGTTGTGGTGATGAGAGGTATACCTATAATTATGTCCTTCTCTTATCAGTACAGAACAAAGTTGCCTATTTTTCGGAGAATTCATTTAATTTGAAATTTTTTGCGTTATTTGATTTGACAAAAAATGTTTCGAGGAATAAAAAATAAAATCATCTTGAATTTTTCCTCTGAATGTGTAATGTACTTCAAAGCTCCAATTTAAGAGATGTTGTTATATACCCTTCAGCCATACGCCTCTGTCATCCGTACATCGCAGAAGTTCAAATAGTAGGTAGAGGGAACTTTGCTTCTTTCTTAATTGAATCATAAAATTATTTTGATATATTTACCGACGATATTGAATGACGTAAAATTTCAGAATGGTCAAAGTTGCACACTCAACTAAGAAGGAACTTTAAACAAACCTTAGTTGAGTAATCGAAATTTATGATTCGAAGCCTCTGTCGTTGGCACTTAAGGCCTTGTCTCCACGGGACGTTTCCATGGGATTTGTCCCAAGTTCGAATCGCAGGAATGAAACTTCTGGGATTTTTCCCAGTTACCGTCTCAACGGGACGGAGCTCATACAGTCCTGCGACTAGTTTGCGCGGGAAGATAAATTAGTTAAAGTCGAGTATTAAACCGGGATCAAAATAATAATTGCACTCAATTGACAATTAGACACATTATTTTAACTAAAAAAATATGAATAATGTAGTAATGAATAAAATATGGCACAATTCGTTTTCACTTCTTCTTCTCTCAGCGGGTCCTAGGGGTACAAGTACCATACTTGGTACTGCGAAAAATATTGATTAACTCAATATTTTTCGCAATTTTGTTAGTGGGATTTTTCCCTGTGACAAATCTTGTGAAACGGCTCGTGGAGACAAGGCTTAAGATGACAAAATATTTGTCTCGTGGATTACACCTCTTTAATTGTAGACAGAAAGTTAGTGGAGGAGCCAACGCGCGTTACAATTCAGTGAAAAGTTGAAAATCTTAGCTCAGAGGGAAAAAGCTCATTCGAGCACAATTTTCCCTCAAAGAGATATGCTGTTTGGTGCAATACTACTTAGTTATGACAATGGAAATGTTGCATGTGTGAGGAATTTGCGATTTGGCTGTTGATTCTTACGTAAAAGTTCGCGAGAAATACGATGTAGCCACTGGTTTTCTCTGAAATCAACTCCCAAGCTCAAAAAAAGCTCTGAAGTTGAGGCCTAAATGGAGGGGATGTCCCACGCTATCCTAAGAGTCCACCTCTCTACGCCAAGACGAACTCTCCATGCAAAGATAGGGAGCAAATACATTAGTAGGGTTGAGTTGCCGTGTTTTCAATTTTAGAGTCCCCAAATAAAGTGGCAGCCCTGTCAATGTCTTTGCTCCCTATCTTTGCATGGAGAGTTTGTCTTGACGTAGAGGTGGACTCTCAGGATAGCGTGGGATATCCCCTCCATTTTGGCCTCAACTTGAGAGCTTTTTTTTTTAGCTTGGGAGTTGATTTCAGGGAAAACCAGTGGCACCATAGTGTTTCTCGCAAACTTTTACACAAGAATTAACAAACAAATCGCAAATTCCTCACACATGCAACATCTCCATTCAGGAATACAACTGCAGACACGTCTCGGGTCTGATTGCACCCGTCATTAGTGCAGCGCAGCCTCGTGAATTGTATTCCCACAGTCTAGCATTAAGTAGTCTGGCGGTTTCCTTTTATTTGCATTTAAAAGGCTTGAGTACAATTCGTGAAACTGCCAGTTCGCGAGCCAGCACTCCGTATACGAGAGAGGAAGAATAAAGTATTCCAAGTCTCTCAGCTGAAGCTTGAGCCACTGCTCATTTTATTTAAAAACTTGATTTCAAATTTGGGTTCAATTTTGGTTGCAAGCAAAATATAAATAATAATGTTCATGACGATGTGTTAATAATTGTTGTTACTGTCAAAATAGCCTTCTTTCTTCAGATTTTAAATTCATCATTACCTATAATAACGTTATTCGTCTCAAGTATTTTAGTTCTCAAGCGCGACGTAGGCGAATTCCTCTGCATGCAACTATTCGTGTTCGGCGGATGTCTGTGTTGCATACACAAAAAATGAAGGCGTTTTGGTTTTTCCTTTCCTTTCTGTCGTTCTTTTTTTTTGCGAAGTAATGCATACGGCGTGGGAAAGGAGCGACCGCGGATCCTTTTACGTCCTTTCACAAGTAGTTTGTGGCAACTTTTCTGGGACGCATTGATAGCAATAAAAAAGAAAAACACGCGTATTAAAAAATAGCTGTATAAACATTTTACAGTCAAAGTTCATATTTTACAAACAAACAATGAGAACCACGTTTTTAAAAAAATAATTGCATGTTATCCCCTATCTTTTGTAAAATGATAACCCTTAGTGTGTTGTTAAATATTTTGTGGTCACGGGGGGGGGGGGGGGGTACAGGGTACAATAAAAAGCGGGAACCTTGTAAAGGATAATCGAGAAGAGTACTTATACATATTTTCCTACTCGCATTGTGCAAAAATTTACATGCGTAGAGTTATACGCCAAAATTTACAGTGAAATAGCCTTATTAATCGTGACTTTCGCATAGAAAAGGCAGCGAAGCCGAATTCAGCACCGCGAAACATGATAACTCTACCCGGATCTTTCTGGGAAAAGTCCGTCGCGGGTATGGACTAGTAACATTGAACGTACGAAAATCACAAGTTCTGAGTCCTTGACCGTAGTTTGTGGTTTTTCCGAGAAGGAACGTAAGCTTCGAATGGTGCAGTTTTGCTGATGGCTCGGATAAGCAGAAACGTTGCCACAGGGCGAAATTAAGGCTATCAGTTGCCCTAGAAACGCCGCGAAACGCACTATGAGTGCCTAGCAAACGACTGCAACGGACTGCACCGCACTGAGGCACCGTCCTACTGCTCTTGACACAGAAGAATAATCATCGAAGGAACTAGGTCATTGGCGCAAGACCATTTGTACATAGTGACTGTAATTTGTATATGCTCCTATCAGAAATATATCATGAATAGGACACGAGAAAAATGACCCAGGTCATTTCCGAAATTTGCTCCTCAAATATCATTTTGAAACATTTTTGCGAAATTTTATTCCGGGGACTTCATCCAGTGAAAAAGGCTCTTTATTTTGCTCGGTACGTCTCTTGTGGGAGCTATTAACTGACCAATGATAGGGGAAAACTGCAATATTTTAGTTTGATCAGATTTTTTTTAAAGATTGCGTAAGTGTCTTTAGATATTCCAGACCTCTATCTCCATGACAACTATTGCTGTAACAAGAATCTCGCTATAGTGAAGAAATCGGCTGGTCTCTTAACGTTGCTAACGTCTTTAACGATTGATTTAACGTCAGTTTGGCAAATAAGTGATTTCTTCACAAACATGATTGCACTATAATCACGAGTCGTAAAAACGTAGGATTTCTGAATTGTAAACACACGTTGGCCATATTTATAGCTTTCTGTTTTTACGACTCGCGATTTTGCTGCAATCAGTTGGTGAAGAAATCAATTTTTTGACCAGACGGTCAACCAACTGTTCAATTCAATGAGATAGAAACTAACTGCACTAATTAGAGTTGATATGAAGCTTGTCTTTCAACACAGTGTGGATAATTTTTCTTTAAAATGAGTGCACTCCGATGTATAGAGGGATTAGAGCTAGAAAAATCATTGATGTGACAACTTGCGGCGCGCCCCCAAAGTAATAGTTCCGGTTGAACCATAAACCTCTCCGTACACGTCTACACCTTTCCTAGAAACAGCTACCGCAAGCAGCATTCTATCTTTAATTTTATACTTCGAATAAACTAGGTTAGTGTCAAATATATCCGTGTAAGCATGGTTGGCCACATCCTTTACGAGGGAAGTAGCATTACCACCATATCTCGTTACAATGACAACCCCTAAACATTTCTCTTTTTGCACCAAAAGCACATCTACTTTTCCCCCTTTCGTTGATTTGCCTTTCCTCGATTTTGCTTTTTCCTCGTTCTTACTGTGCGCGATTATTCCAGCGTCTACGACGAGCTCTTTACTGTAATGATCTGCCGTTTTTCGCGCAAACGTGTACATCAGAGCCTTCAGGTTGGTATCATCTTCAGGGTCTCGCATTTGTACGATACCATGGACGGCATCTTTTAATTTATCAATCGATGCAATCGTTGGGGCTAGATTCCTAAATGCCTCAGTGATAGCAATCTCATCCTTCGCCCTCACCCCGAAGAATTTCTCCACATACCCGCTTTTATACAGGTAATCTCGCAGAATTCCTGCAGCAAAATAGTTGGTCGGTGCTAAACGGTGGTACGTCACGTCAAAGCCGAGTTCAAATAAAACGAAGTCTTCCAGAACTTGGAGCAGTCCTGATCTGATTAGGAGCTTGATGAAGATTTCATGGTCCAGTGTGCTCAGTTTAAAGTCGGTTTGGAACGGGCTGACTTTTCGCAGTTTCTGTCTCAGCGCTAGTAAGTTTTGATACCGAGTCTGGTAGATGGCACTCATGGCAAACGTGCCATCGAAGACGCATGATGTCATGGCTAAACCGATCCATACATCGCTGAATAGTTTCTCAAAGTCCCGCAAGACAGCAGAGGGTGTCTCCGGAGGGAGCGGATTTCCTCGATTCTTGATGAATTTTAGAACGGCTTCTGTGTTGAAGATAGATGGTGATCTAACGACGGTGTGTCCGTCGTACAAATCGGCTACCAAGCGAGAATGATCTTGAAGAGCGTAATTGGCTAACAGTTTTTCAACTTCAGCATACTTCAGACCAAAATATGTGCCCAGGCGCGGTGACCGATCAAATTCAACGCCTGCAATTTTCAAAATATTATCCTTAGAGCTAATTTGAAGGAACATTTATGGTGGGCAATTTTTGAAACTTTTAAGTCATTTAAAAAAAAAGAAAAATAAAGATCTCAACTTGATTATGGGAAATATGTACCTAAGCAAAAAGGGCACACAACTCACTTATTATGACGTCGAATAATATAAACAGTCCAACGTCAACAGTTTTGGGCACCAACTAAGCTGGTGAAAAAAAAAACTTTGAATATTCGTGTAATTTTGAAATCGCACGTTTATTTTTCACAAATTTACGCAGCATGTTTATAGTTTAAAATCGTGTGCTTGTTGCCCCCTATCATATGACTAGACAATGTTGTCCGAAAAGAAGCCTCATAAAAATTAACTGAAACTCCCCTCTCCAGTTTAAATTACTTGCAATGCAATCAATCTATTCTTTTAATTTGTTTTCATGAAAGTAAACTATGCATGAAAACAAATAAAACATTCGTTTGCTCTTCTTAGAGGCGACAATCAGAGAATTGTATTTCGGTATCTTTTCTTCTTTTGCCTCATTTTCAAAATAAATCACCAGTAATTCAAGCAAGCTAGTTGATCAACTAAAAATAATAAGATCTGTCCAAACAACAACTTTCTACGTTGCATATTAACCGAGACATCGCGCCTTGAAATTATGACGTCATCCACCGCGGTAGTAAATACTATGTTAGGCACTGCCGCGGTGGATGACGTCAAAAACCCGACTTTTCAAAGGACGATATTCAACATGAAAAGTTGCTGTTTGGACAGATCCTCTCGTTTTTAACTAATCTACGAGAATCAAGCATCAAAACGCGATTCTATTACTAGCGCAACTGGCCTTTTGAAATATGAAAGGTTAATGAAAGTATTAACAAAAATGGAAACCTCACAAGATCTGAGAAGTGTTTCATTTCTCAGGTTAACTCTTACCTGTAATTAACTTATCCACGTCACCAGGGATAACCATACCAAGTTCAAATGAGCTCATCATCAATAGTTTTGAAGCAACTGGACCTTCGCTAAGCCCTCTTTCATTCAGAATGAACGCCAAAATAAAGCATCTGATGGTGGAAATCGCAAACTCTGCGAAAGACTCTGCACCATCATGAGTTGCGAAGGCATCCAGTACCGCGTCGACGTCATCCACCAGTACAATAACGCTACTCGCGAGGTGTTTCTGTACGATGCTCACTAAGCGGGGCCCGTGCTGTTTAGTAGCGGACTCAAAATCTTGACGACACATCTTGTCGTGATCTTTGTAATCCTTGAGGAAAGCTTTTTCCGACTCGTTCAAACTATTGACGTCAGTCAGGAACTGATAGTCGTTGATCATATCTCTCATCACGGAGCAAAAGTTCTGTTCGAAGGAGGCTCGGTCGGTTGAGTTTCTCAACGGGGCAAATGCGACGTTGACAACGCTGTATTTTTGGAAATGCCGGTCGTGAAAATCCTTCAGTTTAGCGACCGTAGTATCTCGAAAAAGTTCACACGTTTGTGAGTCGCCATCGACGGGATAAATCAGCGCTCCGTCTTGAATTTTGGCTGAGGCGTTGCAGAAGTGCCGCACCATGCTCAGCAGTGCGGACTTTCCTGAACCAGGTGGAGCTGAAACGCTGAGGTGAACCGGTTGGTGGAGGATCCATTCGTGAATGAAGTCGGTTTTATCGATGAACGCCTTACTATGTCTAATCACGGCGAAGTCTGAACTTTCCGGAACTTGCACCTGAAACAAAGAAGAACAGTCCGTTTTTGTCATTTGAATGATGAACTTGACTGATAACATCTGCGTAATTTTGAGAAAAAGAGGTTTAATGCGCATCCCTCCTCGTGAGAATATGCAATATGCATTCCCGCCTTTGATTACCCAAATGTTTACAAACTACATTTTGTTATTTACTTTGAATTTGGTATGAAAAAATGTATATCGACGGTGAAACTACCAGACCACCAGTGGCGTGGCGTGCTTTGCGATATATCGATTGTTTTGCCATTTAAACCTATGGGAAATGATCGATAGACAGGGTGTTTACAGCGAACATCTTAATAATCGATTCTTTACCATAGCATCAAATAGAGAAATATCGATAATCGATCATTCACGCCTCGCCACTGCAGACCACGTATCTATTCTGCGGAGTTTAAAAATCTCCGCTCCCATTTTTTTTTTTCGAAGAAGAAATAAATATTACTTTTTAAAGTTTTCTCAGAGTTCTCTTCGAACAGAGAAGAAAAATAAAGGAATTTTTCATGAAATGTTGTTGCTTAGTTTTTTCATTTAAAAATTAAAGTAGGGCAGGAAGTCTGCAACGCTGGAAACCGGGACACGTGGTTTGGGAGTTTTGCCGTTGATATAGACTATTGGTGTGCAACACCACTCTTTACTCAAATTCATCAAAAAATTGCATTATTGCTTCCTCTCTGAGAGAAAAGTAATATATCAACCGGCCTTGTTAGAGAAATTCTCATTCTATCTGTTCTTTTTACTCTCCCTCAATCACAATCTCTTCATTTTCAGCAGTCCTGATAAAAACAAGTTGGTGATGATACGTCATCTTTGCCACCAGGTCTAACCTTATAATCTGTAACTAGCTCTCTTTCTCTTGACTGGAGTCAATTACTTATTCTTTTCTCGTCAATTTTGTAATCAAAATTATAAAAAATAAAACATCTAAATTAGTTATTAAATATAGATTCGAGGGTGAATTCATTTAATCTATCTGAAAAATTTACTGATTTTTAGATAGAGATAGTAGAACTGAAGTAAATCGATTTTAAAAATCGAAAATAGTTGCCTCGGTGAAATACCATAATGACTAGAACGGGAAGATACACGTCCTTCAATAGATTGGTTGGAAGTATCGTTTGGTTTAAAACAGTAGAACATAACCTCAAACCAAAACTGTAGGATAGGTATTTGTCAGGAAAGCTGAGAATGAGAAATTTCGTAACAAATTCACTACTTTTGGCCAAATATGTACTCATACGAATCAAAAATCTGTCACAAAAAACCTCTACATAAAATTGATTTAAAAAGTTCTTTCCTCTGCCCCCGATATAACTAAGTGGCAACATTTGTGATTACATGATACATACCAAATCTGATTTTGGTGCGTTGGCTGACACTGATTCTTTTGCACTTGCACTCGGCACTAGATCCTCCAGAGATTTTAAAAACACGGCAACAAGCAATGTAAAAACTCGTGCCATAGTTGATGTCACTACACTCAACTGAACAGTAATCTACAGACCAAACATTACAGTAATTTCAATAAATGGTCTATGTTTTAATCGCAAAGAAATTAAAAGATTTGAGTATATGATCAATTTTAATTAATAAATGTCACTATGCACAAACTGTTTACTGTTGTTTTGGAAGAAGCAGATTATGTGATTTTGTGTGTCTCTTTCGTCTTTTAATAAAAATTCGAGGTTCAACAGAGTTCAAATCAACCCATTTCCTTTCCTTCCACGGAATTGATAACATTAAGTCCTTTAATCTGAAAAATGAACTCGCACTTCAATGAATCACTTCCAAAGTGATAAAAAAAATCACGTGCTTAGTTTAAAAAACGTCTAGCACATTCCAGAACCATTTATTGGTTGACTCACAGTGGCACGAGCCGTCTCGAAAAGAGACCATAAGATTACGCGTTTTTAATATAGGAAAAGAAATTGTGAATTTGATGCCATAAAATTACATTCCTTTTACTCAATTATGATGATTCGTTGTAGTATTACACGTGACATAGTGATGATGATGTATATTGCACAGGATTTAAGACGCTGAAGTTTTTCTCAAAAATTTTCTCTGACGAAGAATGTTTACACAGTTCCACTATAGTCAGGTCTGCATTTGTTAGGACAGTTAAGTACCTTTGAAGGCCATATATGACGTTAATTTTTACTGGGTTGGTAATTTAGTATGAATAAAGCAACAGTTAAAAAATGCGTATCTTTATTATGACAATGTAAAAACTGCGATTATGCTCTTTCTTTAAATAAAACTAATCAAAATACAACCTTCAAATTTTCTGTTAATACCCAGGGTCGGATTTACTTACTTGCCGCCCATGGGCCGCCTGTATTTTGCCGCTCCCTTCTCATTCGTTTTGAAACATCAATGAAAACAATCATGTGAACGTGCCAGAGGGGGAAGGGCGCATTAGACGCGTTTACTCGAGTTGGACACATTTTTTGCGAAAGCCCTGTCAACACTACTAGCGAAAGTTCATGGAACTTGGCGCGATAGTTAAGCTCCGTAAACCTTTCTCTGTGTGGACAAGGCCTTCCATATTTATGAAATGAACGAAAAAATTATGAAAGAACAAACATAAATGTGGTTTAATAATTTTAACCTCCGCCGCCGTTCTGACCGCACTGTATTTGGCGCAATGCGTGAAGTATTTCTGCAATCTTGTATGCGCTATGCGTTCTACGCCGACCGCTGTTGCACTCACTGTGTTTAACGCAATGCGTGGAGTATTCATACAGTCTTGTAGGCGCTATGCGTTTCCGTCGCGCCGCCGCCGCCCGCTAACCGCAGCGACTGCACTGTGTTTGATGCAATGCGTGAAGTATTCATGGAATCTTGTAGGCGCTAATATGTGTTACATGCCGACCGCCGCGCCGCGGGTTTCTCCTTTTCATCTCATGTTTTCGTCATCATTGCTCTCTGCGCCGCGTCGTTCCAGGCCAAATTCCGTTTTCGGTTTCTCTCTTAGTCTTAACTCGACTAATTAAAGGTGCTGTCTACTGTACCACAGAAAGACGACAAAATTAGAGATATACTCTCAGGAAATGAGAGATTTTGTCACCGTTTCTCGTTTATAATTTTTGTTCTGAATCCGATTTTTCTTTATAGCTGCATTTAAAAAAAATTTCAAAATTTGCCGCCATGGGCCGCGGCCCATGTGGCCACCCCCTAAATCCAGCCCTGTTAATACCAATGAAGGAGTAAAGAAAATTCATAGACGATTTTAAGACACACTATAGATTAGACTCATAAAATAAAAAAAAAAAAAAAAAAAAAAAAAAAAAAAAAAAAAAAAAAACATACATAAAATGAGCGGACATTTGAGATTTTGTAATCAGGGACTTATTTTTCAGATTTTAGCCATCGATACGTGATCAATAGCCCACAATGTTACCACAATGTGGCGAGTCATTTTAGAGTCTGAAATTTTATAACTTCTATCTTAATATTCTAAGCAGCCTTGGCCATGAACAGGAAACAGCGAAGATTTAAACGAAAGAAGTGTATTATAACTTTCAAAATAAACTTGAGCTCCTTTCATAAAACTAAAATTCACTAATCCTCAAGTCGTTCCTTACCAATTTGGAAGCATAGCCGTCGTCGACATGAAATAAAATTCCCAGAACTCATAACTTTTTTAACGAAGACTTTGAATTAAGTAGGCATGGAAAGATTGCGAATTTCTGAATTATCGTGTAGTAGAATCAAAATTTATTGCTTTTTCCTTGAGAACTCGGCATTTTAAGTACAAAGAGCGTTGTTCACTCTAAGGTACATATATTTTACGAAACTGAGACAGTCTGTTGGTTGTCTCAAGTTTGAATAGTCTGGTAATTAGAAAGAGGCAATTTATTTTTGAGGAAACCGTGGTTGGACAGGAATTTATTTTAATTTTAAAAAATTGATGTAGAAAAGAATCTTGAGGAAATTTGTTAGGTATGGCCCTAAGCGATGTTTTTTTCGCGTTTCAAATTCGGTTTTCTCCTCATAACTAAGGGACCTCTTCTTGTTGCAAATTTGAATGTGGCACAATAATTCATGTGCGAGTATGGCGCATTATTCAATATCAAAAAGTGGCTTCTCAGCTACTTTGTCTGTGAGTAAAGTGTTCAAAAAAGCAGTTGCACATCAACAACTTAATGCTCTTGTCATTTTTGCTTCATGTACATACATAGTTGCCATGCTTACAGTGAATATCGACGCACAGTGGATCGAGTCAATGGGAGAGGTCGAACAAATTTTGGAAACTCTAGACACTTATAACCCCGTTTATACAAAACTGTGAGGTTCTAAATGTGGTTCCATTGGTTTCCTCGTGAAATTATCTATCAGAAACACTGCTTATAATTTAAAATGTGACGAAATAGACGTCAAAATTTGCAGTTTTTGTTAAACGTTTTATGTCCGACCTCTCTAATGGACCACTAGACAAGGTACGAATTTAAGCATTCTAATACATGTTTCTTGACCAAAATTTCACGTAGAACACGATGCGCACAACGAAAATTACCGAAATCAACTCGTTATGAAGATATTTAATGATTCTTGATGCGTGAATTCAAACCACCCGCTCATGAAAACTCAATGCTCTACGTGACTCACATCGCGCGCTGAACGTTATCATGACAGTCTCTGCGATATAAAAATCTGGCAACCTTAATTTTGACGCTTTAGCTCAGCTATTGCAAGTTGTTTGTAGTTTGAACAGCACATGGTGGGAAATGAACATCGCTTGATTGAGAAGTTTGCTGAAACCGTTCTAGTGCACGATTTGACTCACGTAGAGCTTTGAGTTTCTTGTGAGGGGGCAGTTCAAACTCCTCGTAACCAATGTGAAATATAAACGTTAATATCTTCGTTAGGAGTTGATTTTGGTAATTTTCGTCGCGCGAATCGTGTTCTACGTGAAATTCTGGTCAAGAAACATATATTAGAATGCTTAAATTCGTACCTTGTCTAGTGGTCCATTGGATTGATCCACTGTGCGACGATGCAAGCTCGCAACCACGTATCACGTATAATTTTAAAAGTGAAAGAACGGGAAAACCTATATATTTATTATATGTTTTCTCGTGAAATTTCTGTTTTTCAGCGGAAAATTTGGAGAATTTTAAGAACAGCTGGACGCTTTGATTGTTCCTCGCAGGAAATTAATATGATTGCACAATTTGTAGACAGGGCAATGGAGATTGCCGGGTTTGGGATTAAGGGTCTCATTTTTAATGGCATCCTAAGGACTTTTTTTATTCTTTTTTGATACTTGCTAAGAGTGATTATCCGACAGTTTCTGTTGGAATTTATTTTTGGTTTGATTTTCTTCTTTCGCGTCATTCCGAGTCAAAGCGCTTTCTTTGAGTTGCAGAAAATAATGAAGCACACTTGTGGGGAGTTCCTGCAACTCGAGCGCGAAACATCAGTAGCGAAATGAGGCGAGACTCGAAGTTATCGACTGCTGAAGTGGAGTTTCGCTCGTGCCAAGTTTTACCACTTTTCTAATACCCGTGGCTCTTTAATTAATAGATCAATTGGCCTCGCTAATTCTCGAGCCAATTATAATTCCCTGAACTTGCTTCCAGCTTTCCAGTGTTCCGGATTAATGTTTGCAAGGTCAACTTTCTCTTTTTACCACGCGCATTCGTAGCAACATTTCTGCGAAAATCCGTTAAGGTCATTCATACGGCATTCAACTCCTCGCATAGGTACCCTTCCGCTCCATTTCACATTTCCTGATGAGGATTACACATGAATAAGTCCTACAATCGAGAAGGAGAGAATATAAAATATGAGAAATTTTTCTTTTTTTCACAATAATTTAAAAATCGTTATTACTCTGCAAGGTTTATTGGATGAATATGGTCCTTTAAAATAAAGGCCGAGGAAGCCTTTATTTTCTTCTTTCATTCCTCATTTCAGGAGTCATTCTGAAAGACAAATCCGATTAATCCTCCTCTCTAGAACCAGAACGATGAACTCTGATGGATAAATCGGTGTTGTTCACGATAAAGTCAGGCTCCTGTGAAAACGTTTTACAGATTAAACTGATTATCAGGATATTCTATAATGACACCCATAAGCGGTTCAGATACCTTGAATGGAGAGGGGGCATAAGGGGGTCCGGGGGCCTCCCCTGGAAAATTTTTGAATTTTTGAAGCATCTAATATGCAGTTTGAATCAATTTCGTCATGAATAATTACCAAATGTAAGCGTATTTCCTTCTTCTTTCCTATGTTCCTCCCTTTTTTGTTCCTCCTTACTTTAAGACGAACGGGGGAGGGGGGGGCGTACGCCCTCTGAGGCCCCCTCCCCTAGATCCGCCTATGCCAATACCGGATTTTGTGGAAGAATGAGAATGAAACAATTTAAGAATGATTATGCTCATAAATCCTAAATCAGTTCACCGTTGCTAATAATCAAAACTCACGAGTTGTTGCTATTTGTATAAAGACAGAAATCCATCTTTCCTTCATATTTTTCTATAAATAATTTTAACAGGAATATTTTTCCATGTGGCAGAACTGCCTGTTATTGTTAGCCCGATTAGAGGTGTAGGAAAGTCATCTGCAGGATAAAGCTAATAACAAGGGAGACATAGAGAGCGGTTGCCGTACTTCAAATAAAAGAGTCTGCAAATTATATGGTGTGCTTTTTTCACAATGCGATGGATGGAAATTTTGAATCCACGGTTCCAGGGCACAAGTTGACGGCGAAAC